ATTCGTTATTCAACATCAATTAAAACTAATTGGATTTGGCTTCCTATGAAATATTTACCAAAATAAACAAACAGTTAAAGAAAATTACATTGATTTGAAATATTTATAGCTTATGAAAATGCAAAAATAATGTTAATCACCCAGATCTGTCGCGTTAATTGAGTCAAATATTTTAAATATACATTACGCAAGAGCTAAATCTGCCTATTGCAGGTCTTTCTTTAAGTCTGAAATGTTATCTAAACTATTAATTAGACATTAATTAACTTATCAAGATCATAATTAACTCTTGATGTCATCACTAGCCTGCGATATTTACTGGATTATAATCCGATCTGCTACTCAACGCTCATTCGCGATTTAATCAAAAAATGGATAATCGAGACTATGATTTTTATCGTACCGACTTTAGTAATGATGATCGAGGCTAGGCCTAAAATTCAATCGCTAAATTCTCGGTTCGGAGTTGATCAATTTGACTGAAATTTTCCGCAAATTCCCTTTACATTATCTAGTTTTTAACCATTATAGTGAGAACTACCAGCTCTTTATTTAATCTTACATAATGTATCTTTAATAATGTATTATTGATTATTTCTATCTTAAAATACAATTTATGATGTGGAAAAATAAATTATATATTGAACATGATTACTAAGCTCACAATAAATAAAAGAAGAAAGAAATCCTATTCTGTTGTGTGGACGGATTAGACGATTATTCGTGCGTGTCAGGGTTCCAACTTCACAGCTAACCTTTAGCAAGTGAAGAGAGAGAGACACAATTACACTATTGTTAAGTTAAAGGAACATTATGTAAGATTAGATAAAGAGCTGATAGTTTTCAATATAATAGTTAAAAAGTAGATAATGCAAAAAGAATACATGTACATGCTTAAAATTTCAGTCAAGTTGTTTCACTCTGAACCAAATATTACTGATTCAGTTTTAGGCTAGCCTCGATCGTCATTACTACCGTTGTTACGATAATAAACAATGTCTTGATTATCCATTTTACGATTATTTCATCCATTTCAGCCACCCGATGACATCGAGCGTTGATTATGGTCTTGCCATGTTAATAAATGTCTAGTTAATAATTTATATAACATTTAAGGCTTAAAAAAAGACCTGCAATAGACAGATTTAGCTCTTACGTAATGTATGTTTAAGCTACTCTGTTTTTAAGTGTTTGGTTGGTTGGTCGATTAGTCTAATGTTAATGATCATAAGGTCTGTAATTGAGTAAACTGGCGTGGTTTTAATCCCAAGCTTGTATGTGAAAGGAGTAGGATCGCATGTCCAACCTCATGGGGTTTCTCCGGTTCCTCTGCTTTCATCCAACTGCTAATGATCCCTACGCGCAAGCAAATTATTTTAATTTTCATTTAATGTTAGCTCTAAAGTGATGTTTGTGTTGAAGTTAAACCTCAGCTCTCTGTCTCTTGGTGTGTTGCTAAGTGATGTTTGTGTTGAAGTTAAACCTCAGCTCTCTGTCTCTATGTGTGATGCTAAGTGATGTGTTTCTCTTTTCATAATTATGGCATTATATATGGCTTGATCTTTTCCTTGGCTATATCTATTTCGTCTAGGTCACTAAGATGTATATACAGTTAGGGCACGTGATGGTTTTGAGATTGTAGGTTAGGGTTAGGGTAAGTGTTAGGGTTGGGATTAGCGCTAGCCCTGTATATATCTCAAAGAAAATTGACCAACTCGAAGTTGACGTTATGAAATAGCTCTAAACCTTTTCGTCTCAGTATTGATATCGGTGGTTATGTACATGTTATGTGTCATAATACTGATTGTTAAAAGACATATTTGTGAACATGTATCTTTAATAGGAAAGGGTACGGCAACACTCCCCTAGTAAGTAATTATAGCTGGACAGGCTGATACAGCTGCGTGGAGACGGGATCAAAAGATGATACTGGCGGAGCAAAGTACATGTACATGTAGTAAAATATAATTTAAAAATCCCCGCTAAACTTAATCACAACAGACTTTATGGAAGTAGATATCGTTTAATGTGATGACATTTTAGGTGAAATACCCTTTATCAAGATTAAATTATACTGATCCTGTGACACCTTACATACAATAAAGGTGGTGACGTCACAGGATTTTTAAATTTATTTATGTACAGTATAAACATTGTTAAAAAAAAAAAGAAAGAAAGGAACGTTAAATTTAATTTAAGTATAAGATTATATACAATTATATACTTCAATTAAATTTAACGATCCTTTATTTTCTTTTTTTTTTTAACAATCTTTATACTGTACATAAATAAATTTAAAAATCCTGTGATGTCACCACCATTATTGTATATACATGTATAAGGCGTCACAGGGGATTCTTAAATTATGTATCTTTAATAATATTATATAACTAATTTATATAAATAGACAAATGTACGTAAGATGATTCATTAGTTGGAGAGACCAGCTTAGGGAACCTTGTAGTACTATCAGACTTCTTTTCTTGTTGTGTTTGTTTCTTCGTGATCGTAATAACACTACAGCATCAATGGTTTTACAACTTTATTGCTAAGCTGTAATGGCTTTGAAGGTTCCTCGTTCTCAATAATAATGGCTGCTTAGAATATTTGATCCATATCGCTCTACACCCTAATTTATACCCCCTAATTTCTGCAGGTCTTATAGATAGCCTTGATGTTAATTTCCATCCCAAATATGGAATAAACCTCTTTATTTCACATGACTAAAGGAGGAAACATTACCTTATTTGGTCTTCCAATCATAGGTCAATTAACGGCCAGAATTTGATGGATATCTTGACAATGGTTATGATTTTACCAAAATATCACTGTTTTTTTTATGGATAACTATATAATTACATTCATTAAGTACGTGTGATTTGACTCTATAGACAGAGTGAAGCAACAATTTTTCAAAGAATCAAAATTGTCTTAAGGACCAAAGTGTTACATGTATCTGATGTAGTTGGAGGTCCGATATATAGGAAATTGTTGTTAGATATGAGTTGTTAAATTGTTGCTGTTAATTATTTGCTCCTGTATTTATTTCTGATACTTAGAGAACACACGTCGACGAGCTTCATTCCCTGAAAGTCGAACAGTGTTATATCTTTAAAAATATATTTTGTAAACTTCTGGATGATTTTTAGTGATTTATTTACTGTCTGTTTAGTTTTGATTATATACCATTAAGGTTTGAGTTATGTTTTAACTAGACATCGTGATTAATGTTTTGTTCATGTTTGTCTATCTAAAAGTCACGGAAAATAAAATTATTGGAATTATTCAAGTCATATTTCAAAGCTCTAGCTGCATTGATTATTTGTTTTTTTGGTTTTTTTTTTATGTGTTTATCCTCAATTTAGAATTTGAATTAAAAGATTATGACACTGTTTACTCACCATATAATTACAGGACTATCGACACTGTTCATTCACCATTTAATTAAAGGACTATGATACTGTTCATTCACCATACATGTATAATTAAAGGACTATGGCACTGTTCATTCACTAGATTATTAAAGGACTATGTTCATTCACCATATTATTAAAGGACCTCAATATAATAAAACAACTATGACACTGTTTATTCACCATATTATTAAAGGACTACGGCACTGTTCATTCACCATATAATAAAAAAACTATGCCACTGTTTATTCACCTTATAATCTAAGGACTATGACATTGTTTATTAAAGGCAAATTATTTACTCAACATATATTTAAAGGACTATAATGTACAGCTGTATTTAACTAAACAAAAGCTGATATAGATTCCAATGCCCCCAAATATGGAATCTTATTTGTAGGCTTTTCATTCTGTTTCCTAGCACCGCCCATTTCCAAAGATTGATTTGTTGGTACATGTACATCTAGGCGTTAGGCGAGTGTCAGGATTAATTGAGGAAAGCTAAGTTTACATGCAAATAATATAAATTACAATTGCGTCCATAAATATACATGTATCTGATATTATGCAAGCCTGGCATAACTGTGAGACGTTTAAACTAATTACCAATCTGGTTAAACACAGATCCTATTTTGTTTCGTTTTTATAGTTCAAAATTTCGTTTTACTTGTCTTTACTACACTTGGATCTGAAAGACTTGTTATTTAACTCGTGTTCTGCTTGAAATGAAGGGTCAGCCAATCAAATGGTCTGTCGAATCGAGTGGTTGACCTTTTTTGCCCGGAACTGTGGGTAATCCACTAGTAACATCAATGGTGACTGGTTAATCAAATGTCTGACGTCATAGGTCATAAGTCGGTCGTTTGACCCCTGACGTGACCTATCGATATAACTTGTCAGATTATCATGTAGTGTAGGCCATCGAAAGTATAAAAAAACAAAACGAAATATAGATCTATATTTTAATCAGATTGAAACTAATTACTTGCTAGCTGGTTGGCGTTTAATGTCTACTTCCAGAAGTACAAGTTTAACCAAACTTTTCAATATAATACTTGTGTGATATATTTTCATATAATATTTGATTCAGGAATAAATGTTGACATTCTCTGGTATTATAAATTGTATTACAAAGAATGTACCCTTCGGGCAGCCGTCCAAAACGTGTCTTGGAATAAATACTTTTACAAAGTCTACACAGTCTTGTCAGTGTGTTGCTAGGGAAGTTTATTTTGGGATTATTTTCGAGGGATTGCTTCCTTCTCCCAGGGGTGGAATTCCAGTCCCGCGACTCGGACTCAAGTCGACTTAAAATATTTGTTGAGACTCGACTCGGCAGTCGTGACGACTCCCAACTTGAAAGAACTCATGACTCGAGTCGAGACAAGGTGGCATAACACTAACTTACATGTACCTTAGTCACCATGAATTGTTGACTCATTTGATGAACTTAACGAACCCCTTATTTATTGTCATATAAATTTAACCGTTTCTAGGATTTTTATTAGCTATTTCAACCAGAAATGTATTTTTAGTATATTTTCATATTCTAGCGACTACATAATATATATATTTATTCTACTTCAGGTTCATGTAGACAGAGTAAAAAATGGATAGTTGGGTACCGAATCCTAGAGCAAAACCATACATACCCAAACACAAACTATTTGGATCACGATCAGCAGGTTCTAGAATCAGAGAATTCAGTAGCAGAAGATGTATATCAAAAATATTTCAGGTATGATGTTTGGTAATCAGTATTAACCCTCAATCTGTCATGTTGTCCTTCATCATTATTAATCAGTATTGACCCTTGGTCTGTCGTGTTGTCCTTCATCAGTATTAAACCTGTGGTCTGTCGTATTGTCCTTCATCAAACCCTGGGTCTGTCGTGTTGTCCTTCATCAGTATTAACCCTTGGTCTGTTGTGTTGTCCTTCATCTGTATTAATCATTATTGACCCTTGGTCTGTCGTGTTGTCCTTCATCATTATTGACCCTTGGTCTGTTGTGTTGTCCTTCATCAGTATTAAACTCTTGGTCTATCATGTTGTCCTTCATCAGTATTAAACCCTCTGTCGTGTCGACCTTCAGTAGTATTAAACCCTCAGTCTGTTGAGTTTTCCTCCATCAGTATTAAACCTTTGGTCTGTCGTGTTGTCTTTCATTTGTATTAATTAGTATTAACCCTCTGTGTGTTGTGTTAAACTTCATCAGTATTAATCCTCAGTCTGCCGTGTAGTCCTTCATCAGTATTAACCCTCTGCCTGTCGTGTTGTCCTTCATCAGTATTAACCCTCTGTCGTGTTGTTCTTCATCAGTATTAACCTTCAGTCTGTTGTGTTGTTCTTCATCTGTATTAATCCTCAGTCTGTTGTGTTGTTCTTCATCAGTATTAATCCTCAGTCTGTTGTGTTGTCCTCCATCAGTATTAACCCTATGTCTGTCGTGTTGTCCTTCATCAGTTTTAACCCTCTGTCTGTCTTATTGTCCTTCATCTGTATAAACATTAATTTAACAATGTATAAATTAGGTATATTTCTGTGAGGTTGAATATTGATATTGATAACAATGTATCTGTTAGGTGTATTACAGAGAGGGAACCATGGTGGCTAAGTGGGTAGGACGTTGGCTCGCATTGGCTGAGAAAGTTCTTCAAGATCTTCCGACATGGTTTCCCCTTGTCAGTGGTGCAGAATGGAGGGCTTCACAAGAACAGCTGTCTTGTCGTTCGGATGGGAGGAAAAGCCAATGTACCGTGTGTATACATTGGCATGTATGTAAAAGATCCCTTGGTAGTTGGAATTCGATCTAAGAGTAGGCCATAGTGCCGCTGGTCAGGCAAAATTTCCCTCATACATGTACATTATTGCAGTAGGAGCAGAATAGTAGGACGTTAAACTCCATTTCATTTCATTTCATATGACAGGGAGGATTAATGTTGGTATGATTGATTAACAATATATGTTACATGTATTACAGGGAGGTTTAATGTTGGTATGATTGATTAACAATATATCTGTACAGGGAGGTTTAATGTTGGTATGATTGATTAACAATGTATGTTACATGTATTACAGGGAGGTTCAATGTTGGTATGATTGATTGATTAACAATGTATGTTACATGTATTTCAGGGAGGTTTGCTTCTGGTATTAATAGTAACAGTTGTAATTAACATTACATTTATCATGGACACCAATAAAAAACTTCATACTGATCCACAAGTATCAGGTAAAATATATTATAATTATATGGTACTGTCTTTTATTAACCTGTAACAACAGTGGCTTACGTTTGTTTCAACGTTTATTTCAATAAACATTACATTCCAGCTAGTGCTGGCAGGATATGTCATTGAGTCGATGTATCACGATCCAACTTCTCACGATTTGCGATTCTTTGTTTATTTTTTGTTTTTGTCGCTTCATGTACACAAACACTCTTAAAATTGTTATTTTGATCCACATCATTATAGTGATATAAAACAGTTTTATTTCTTCGACATTGACAGGACCAAAAATATCAATCATTTCTTGGTAAATATTGATACGAATCGTATTGTAACACCTGAATCGCAATACCTGGCAGTAATTCCAACCCCTTTCTGTGTGCATTCCTCGTCCCTTTTATTACAATACAAGATTTTTATCCTGTGTTCATAGATTGGTGAAAGTTCAACGGGGGTTTTCCGACGTGGTTTCCCCCTTGTCAGAGGTCTACTCGGGTAAAATTTGGCACATGCAAAAAAAAAAGAACCCTTTGCGGTTTACAAATGACTGGCAGATATGCTGCCTCGGCAAAGTTCTCCATTTTCCATGTGACCATAGAAAAACATGTACATGTACATGTAATTGCTTGTGGTCATAAAGAACCCTTTACGGTTGACGAATGATTGGCAGAAAGGCTGCTGTCTGGCAAAGTTCTCCTTTGCACCATAGAAAAACAAGTAATTGTGTCGAGACATTCCACTCTCTTCAGTTGTGTCAGAGATGTACTATTTTAAGATTCCAGGTTTGTCCGTTTTGTGATCATCAATTAATAAAGGAAGACAATAGAAGTAATTTCCTTTACCTTGATTAGAAAACTAATGGAAAACATTGATTTTATAGAATTTCTATTCAGTATACATTATTTATATTATAAATGGTTGATACAATACAATGTCGAGCGTAACATCGCCATGGATTCCAATAATGCTTTTTGAAGACCTTGTGGTTACTATATAATATGTACATTGTATGCATAAGGGAGACACAATAGTTCGAGGGACTGGCTCACTAACCATGAGGTTCTGCTTGGCAAGCAGTGCTTGAGCGTAACATCCCCAAGGATTCCGATAATTTATTGAAGACCTTGTGGTTATTATATGTTATAATATATATACATTAGGGAGACAAAGTACCTCGAGATGCTTGCTCACTAACCATGAGGTTCTGCTCGAGCGTAACATCCCCATGGATTCCAATAATGCTTATTAAAGACCTTGTGGCTACTATTATATACATTAGGGAGACAAGTACCTCGAGGCACTGGCTCACTAACCATGAGGTTCTGCTGGAGTGTAAAATCCCCATGGATTCCAATAATGCTTATTAAAGACCTTGTGGCTACTATTATATACATTAGGGAGACAAAGTAGCTCGAGATGCTGGTTCACTAACCATGAGGGTCTTGTCCCGAGTTCACAGATCATTCTGAGACGTTAAAGATGGGTTGCTGCGTACAAACTGGGGGATTTAATGGTACATATGGACTAAAAACATATTCAAACTAATTAATTTGTCATAATTATGCTTCAAATACTTCTCAAACATTGTAATTGCGAAGGAATGCCCTGCTATTAAAATTTGATCAAACCAGGTCATGTTTACGTCACGTCTTGGAAATCAGTGGAGAATTCATTGCATACATAAGACGATGTTGTCTTTAATTGCTTACTATTTATTACAAATATCGAATCCTAATTAAATTCTCGGATTATCCACTACCCGCGTCTTTTTCCGTCATTTTTATCTCAGAAAGTGTTGTACATCTAACTCTTCATAAAGTTTATCAACTTGTACATCAAGCGCTCAATGTTCGCGTGTGACCTTTGACTTCACGTGTGCAGAAATTCTTAATCGTCGGGCTATTAATTAGGGGAACCCTTACATTTTTGTCCTGTATAGGCTCCATGAGTGTTTTTCGGGGAATCCAGTATTTTTCTAGTAAGATTGGATATCTCTACTTTCCATATATACCAAAATTGCCATACTTTTATTGGAAATAACCACCCGATAAATACTTTTCTGGGAACCCATCTTTAAGTTAAGAATTTACTCAAAATTGTTCTTCTTATTTTAACTAAAATATAGCTCTTTATATAACTTTTGTTTTTTTAATGTATCAAATACATCAATAAGAAACTATATACAAAGTTTTGTGTTTCTGGATGAAAGATATTTCTCATAAATAATGATTGAAAGTTGAGTAAATTCTCAACATAGTCTGTGAATGCTCTGTGAACTTGGGGCCTGGTTTCTCTCCTGGGGTTGGCCTAGAATGTTTCTCTGGATTTTATTCGCTTGGTTTCCCTTTGTGAGGGGGAGGGGGGTTGGATGGCCGAATGGTTAGCGTGTGCACATTGTATCATGAGGTCTGCCATTGAGTCAACTGGCATGGTTTTGTTTCCCCGGTTGTACATTACAAGGAGTAGGGTCGCCTGTCCAACCTTGTGGGTTTTCTCCGGGTCCTCCGGTTTCCCCCTGCTGCTAAAGACCCCTAGGCACAAACCCCATTTCTCCATCTCTCTTTTCCCTTTTTCAATGCTGGAGGATGGAAGGAGGAGGGGTGGGGGTCTAGTAATGATTGACTATCATTAATCTGATTAAAATACAGATCTATATTTCGTTTTGTTTTTTTATACTTTGGATGACCTCTACTACATAAAGATGGTTTTAAATTTCCTGATTCAGTTTTTTGCCTGCAGAAATTTATCCTTTCAAGTGGATATAACTATAACCTGTGGCTGTCAGAACAGTTAGGCTGGTTTGGTTATAGCACATGTACATGGAAACTCTACACGCAATACAGATTTTTATATAACCAGCTTAAAGATACATTATGTAAGATTTAGATAAAGAGCTGGCCATTCTTGCTATAATAGTTCAGATTTAGATAATGCAAAATGAATATACATGTATTGAAAATTTCATTCAAATTACTTTATTTTGAGCGAAGATATTAACCTTTGAGGGTTTGACGAGATTTGTGTACTGATTGTAACCACCGTACTGATTGTTCGAGTCTTAGCCTCTCCTCACCATTTTTAAATTAAATCAAAATATGTCTGTACCGTTCTAATGTACTTAAAATCAGAGATATCCAATGAAATCAAGAGTTGATTATGGTTTTGTCATGTTAATAATGTCTAATTACATGTAATAGTCTATGTTACATTTAAAGATAGGTTCCCAGAAAAGTATTTATCAGGTGGTTATTTCCAATAAAAGTATGGTAATTTTGGTATATATGGAAAGTAGAGATATCCAATCTTACTAGAAAAATACTTGATTCCCCGAAAAACACTCATAGAGCGTATACAGGACAAAAATGTAAGGGTTCCCCTAATCAACAGCCCGACGATTAGGAATTTCTGCACGCGTGATGTCAAAGGTCACACGCGAACATTGAGTGCTTGATGTACAAGTTGATAAACTTTATGAAGAGTTAGACGTACAACACTTTCTGAGATAAAAATGACGGAAAAAGACGCGGGTAGTGGATAATCCAAGAATTTAATTAGGATTCGATATTTGTAATAAATAGTAAGCGATTAAAGACAGCATCGTCTTATGTATGCATGCAATGAATTCTCCTCTGACTTCCAAGAGAGGTAAACGTGACCTGGTTTGATCGAATTTTTATAGCAGGACATACCTTCGCAATTACAATGTTATGACAAATTAATTAGTTTGAATATGTTTTTAGTCCATATATACCATTAAATCACCCAGTTTGTATGCAGGAACCCATCTTTAAGTCCTAAAGAAAGACCTGAATAGACAGATATAGCTCTTGCATACTGTATGTTTAAGCATCTCAACAGCATATAATAAAACAAAATCATAAATACTGCAAAAGAAAGCACATTCATAACAAACAGTACATAAATGTAGTTTATAATAGTTGACTGAACAGTATATACATATACTTGTGTGTTGTTAATTAATCTATTAAAACTATAATGATAAGACTGACAGGCATTCTGATTAGATCCTGACCTTTGACCTCAACTGTCAGTGACTGATATGTAACAGCTGAAGCAATTACCTATATAATTGTGTTCTTGTATATATTTGATAATACCAATATACAGGTGTTGTGCTGTGATATATAGTAAATTAAATGGTATATTTTAGTATGGAGTAATAATGTTGTGGCAAGTAGTTTTGGGAGTAGCTATAGATTTGGTGACAGGTTATGTCTGTTCTAACAATAATTATCAAACATGTATAACAGGTACTTTCTTTAATAAAATATCATTAATTAGACAGAATATTCTTTTTAAAAATAGTTTATTACACAGTATATTCTTTATTTGTACAGTAAGGGGGGTTGGATGGCCGAATGGTTAGCATGTGCGCGCTGGACAATAAGGTCTGTCATTGAGTCAACTGACTTGGTTTTGATTCCCCGGTTGTATGTGACAAGGAGTAGGGTCGCCTGTCAAAACTTGTGGGTTTTCTCCATGGCCTCTGGTTTCCTCCCACTGCTAAAGACCCCTTCGCGCAAATGAATTATTGAAATAAAATTGAACCATGTGTTAGTCCCGAAATGAGTTAGTTTGTGTCAAGTGGATGTTAAACTCCATTTCTCTCTCTCTTCTAAACAGTGGTTTTGTATTTAGGTACTTGACTATAAATAAAATGTATATCTTTGTAATAAGTTACTTAATAAATAAGTATCGATATTTGAATAATGGAAACAGATGGCACTGTATAAAATTATACTTGTAACACTAGGCAGTTCGGCAACCAAATCAAATATGTCATACAATGCAGAGCTATGAGTCACAGGGGGGTTGGATGGCTGAATGGTTAGAGTGTACACGCTGTATCATAAAGTCTGTCATTGAGTCAACTGTCGTGGTTTCGATTCCCCATTTGTACGTGACAAGGAGTAGAGTCGCCTGTCCAACCTCGTGGGTTTTCTCCGGGACCTCCGGTTTTCTCCCACTGCTAAAGATCCCTACGTGCAAGCGAATTATTGAAATAAAATTAAAAACCATATGTTAGTCCCGAAATGACTTAGTTTGTGTCAAGCGGATGTTAAACTCCCATTTCTCACCACTATAAGTCAATGGCTAGATGTGGAAATCTCAACTGTCAAAAACTCGCCACATCTAACATATGACGCATATTCTCTCCTCTGTTACATAATTTAATAGTTCCAAGTAAGAGACGATGAAACCCCCACACTCGATAAGAATAGGAGGGCGGAAGATTCCCTGACAGTACAGGAGTATCCCCAGCAACAAACTAGACAACACTGCATTGGTTAATAAAAATCTAATCCAGAACACGTTTTAATAGTTGATGGTTTAGTATTTAGTATTAAATGCAACTCTGACATCCCACGTTATCAATTTATTCTCCTCTTATCAGTTTATTGTTACCCACAGGAATAACAACACCACAGTTAGTTTCTGCATTTTATGTCAAGCACTGGATACATAGGTTACAAGCATAGATTAAAAATAAAATCATTCTCTCTATCTCTCTCCCATCCAAACTTTCTAGTTCAAGTTTGCTGATAGAACTTGCAATATCCTCTCCTCTAGAATTTACATGGTGGTCTAAGGGAATCGCCCATTCGTTCGTTCCTGGAGTTTTACGTCCACTTCCACCAAGGGTGAAATCGTAGACAAAACTGCTATGAAACTTACTAGAGGAAACCATAAGAATCGCCCACTGCTCTGATGATTTTATATGCCTGGACATCTGCTATCTATTATTTAATTTGTCAAGTATGACTTAATTAATTATGATGATTGGGTACTTAACCTAATGACGTGAGCACTATCCTTAAATGGACGATGGAATATTCCTCACATGAGTGAAATAGACAACAGAATTTATCCTTAGCTAATATTTTGACAAATAAAACAACCAAATAAAACACACATATATATCAAATTATAAATCATATCCTCTGGGGAACTTATATTCGCCTAATGCAATTTCGCATAAATTACCTAATAGTATCGTATACTTCATAGTCTTACTGACTTATAGCGTATATACCTGTAGGTAAAAATACATGTAGGTTATTAACAACTTACCTGTGATAGGAAAATACAGCTTTATGTAATTTATGGATGTCAGATATGTAAATTGTATTTTTATGTAAAAATGACAAATAATTTCTGGATTTTATAAGATGATCATGTTAGAGTGTAGATGAAAATGTCCATCATTTATCTAGTTTTAGTTTATTACAGTACTGATATTGTAATATCTGCCGTATTTTATTCGTATGACGACAGTTTTTGTGAGATTCAAACATATTGTAAGTTACAATTTAAAAAATATTGCTGACTTTTATTTTTATTTTTTGATATTATGATTTTATGGCATGTGAAATTGACGTACGTGTGACTGCTCCAGATTCTGACTATTTTCAAAGTTTAATGAAAAAGAAAATAGTGTCTGCCTTTAAAATAGCTTGCGTTATTGAAATAATTTTAGAAAATAATTGATTGACTATCTTTAAATGGTAATATCTTAAAATGGTAATATCTTACAATGGTAAATTGAAATGACTATCTTAAAATAGTATATCTTAAAATGGTAAATTGAAATGACGATCTTAAAATAGTAATATCTTAAAATGGTAAATTTAAATGACTATCTGAAAATTGTAAGTTGAAATGATGTAACGGATTTGAGGTTAGGCCATTCAGTTTCTTACAAAAAATTTCTATACATGGCTGTATTTTACCAATTGAAACCAAAAGAGAAAGACATTTACTGATTTAGTCCCATATTTTATTCCATTTCATTTGTTTTTGAATTAGTCACTTTTTTCAGAAACATTATCTAGAGAAGGAGAGGGGTTTTACATGGGCTAAGCCTGTTCCCCAATCCCATTCAGACAACCTGAATAAAAATATTGTTTATAAAAAAACCCAACATTATCTAGACTTTATCAAGCTACTATATTTAACGGACAGGCCATCGGTGTATGACATAGATGTAGGGTGATGTCAACATAACGCTCATTAACATCTCTGATAAATGCACTAACTAACGAACGAAACTCATTTATTTCTGATTTACTCAACCGAACATCGTGTATTACAAGTTAAACGACTTCTTAACAACCAGACTTGAATCTTTGATTGAATTGCTGGGAATTAATTTTGTATGTAACAATTTGTGTAAAGTTGGATTCAGGCCAATTTACAAATCTAGAAAACATGTCATTCAACAAAGATGGGCTGAGAAAATCCATTAACTTTTTTTTTTTGCATAAAACAAATTTCGAGAATTAAGAGACATACACAATATAAATAGTCCCCTCTGAACTGAACCCGATGAGTTAATTGAAAATTGAAATTGATGATACATGTATGTATGCTAATGATGTCTCACAAGTCACATTTAACATTTCTTTTCACATTTAACAGCAATCAGACCACAGATCCTATTTCATTTTGTATTTTATAGTTCAAATTTTCGTTTTACTAGTCTTTACTGCACTAGGATGTGAAAGAGTTGTTATATAACCCGCGTTCTGGTTGATGTAAGGGATTAGCCAATGAAACGGTCTGTTGCTGTGAGTTCTTGGTGTAGGGTATCCTACTAAAAACGTCAACATTGATTGGTTAATCAAATCTGACGTCATAGGGTCAAAAGCCTCTCGTATGACCTATGACGCGTCCTATCACTACAACCGGTCTGATCTTCATGTAGTGTAGGCCATCGAAAGTATAAAAAACAAAACGAAATGTAGATCTGTATTTTAATCAAATTGATTTAACGGGATGGGAATTGGGTTTGAAGTCTCTCATATTGAGGGCGAGAATGTTTCCCTGGCAGAGGTGTTTATTTTACATATACTACTAGCAATATGTACACATGATCTTTGATTTTTGTCCCATCCAAGCAACTAGACATGAACTGTATTGACCAGTAAGCATCACCCCTGACAATTGAGAATGCTTTGTCAACTCGGCGCAAGAGCTTGATAATCCTCAAGGTGCAAGAGCTTGATAATCCTCAAGGTTTTTCTAGACCCACTTTGGGAATCAGACCCTCTCTTCTCATATATACACTCTCTCTCTCTCTCTTTCTCCTATCAATGTAATCATTACTAATTTGATTATATTTAACAGATAATATAATGAAGATACCAATGGAACCGAATCGTCTGGGGATTGACTCAGAAAGAAAGCCCCAGATAGTTAATTTGGAAGTTGTATCAAGTAAAGAATTGGTCTTTGTTTCATTTGATGGAACTACGGTAAATATTTTAGTTTTATAACAATATGAAGTGGTAATTCTGCTATAAAAATCCAATCTGATTAAAACAAAGATCCTATTTCGTTTTTTTTTTTTATAGTTCAAAATTTCGTTTAACTTGCCTTTACTACACTAGGATCTGGAAGAGTTGTTATCATTGATGTGTTCTGGATGATGTGAGGGATTAGCCAATGAAACAAGCTGTTATGGAGAGCTTTTAGCGTGAGGTGCACAGAACTGTCAGTAATCCACTAGAAACATCAATGCTGATTGATTAATCAAATGTCTAACGCCATAGGGTCAAAAGCTGCTCGTATGACCTCCCAACACAACTGGTCAGATCTTCATGTAGTGTAGACCATCGAAAGTATAAAAAAACAAAACGAAATATAGATCTGTATTTAAATCAGATTGATGAAAATCATATTGGTTATTTATCGGACATAATAAAGGGACACAGTTAGCATATATATTTTGTAAGACGCTTGCTCGCTAGCCTGGAGTGCGGGTGTTTGATCCCTGCATTGGCCGAGAAAATGCATCCAGATTTTCCGGTGTGGTTCCCCCTTGTCTGTGATGCAGGATGGAGGGCCTGACAAGGACAGCTGTCTAGTCATTCGGATGAGACAAAAACCCGAGGTCCTGTGTACACATTGGTGTGCACGTAAAAGATCCCTTGACAGTTGGAATTCGATATAAGAGTAGGCCGTAGTGCCGCAGTCCGGGCAAAATTTCACCTTATAGCACACTGTATGGCGTATGCCCGTCTTCATTAGCCCAGTTCGGAGCAGAACAGTAGGACGTTAAACTCCATTTCATTTCATTTCATATATATTTTAAAATTTGTTGCCTGTGTTGATTGTCAAGTCGTATTCTTATGAATCAAGGTCAATGACAAATCGTGTAAGTTTTATTACTAAACTATCTTTCTAATATTTTAAAACAGCCATAGGCAAATTACAGAATTTGCTGTTATTATAAATTATAGGGATATTGTCATATATGATCTCAGTATTTAACGATGTAATTTGCCATGAAAACAGGTGATTGAAAAAATAACATTAAAACAAACTATTTTTATAATTTTTCTGAACGAAAGTCTTGTCTCGTGAGCGATTTGTCCATTGTATGCCATCTTGTCCATAAGATATGTAGTTTATTTTATGCTGATGTATTTTTCAGGTGTTACAAGATGAAGGATTTGAGACAAATAGAGGTGTTCATGTATTAGTTTTAAATCAAGCTACGGTAGGTAAAAACAAAAAAAAAATCAAGGGAGGAGCCACGGTGGTAAAGTTTGGTATGTCGCTGGCTCGACAGCCTTGTGGTCGCATCTTCAATCCCTGCATTGGCCTAGAAAGTTTATCGGTATTTTCTAACGTGGTTTCCCCTTGTCTTTCGGATGGGTCAAAAAACCGAGGTCCCATCTATTCATTGGCGTTCACATAAAAGATTCCTTGGCAGTTGGAATTTGATATAAGAGTAGGCTATAGTGCCGCTGCCCTGGCAAAATTTCCCTCATAGCACACTGCATGGCATATGTCCGTCTTTATTAGCCCAGTTGGAGCAGAAGGGTTGGACATTGAACCCCATTTTATTTCATTTCATTTAGAAACTAAGGGTCAAAATATTGGTACATGCTTAAAATTTGGATGATTTGGTCCTTATGAATGTAAAGTTTCTTCATCGCCTGACCAAAAGGATTTTAGATATAACATGATTTATATTTCATATGTATTGATAATTTGTAGATTTTATTTATATTTCTAGGGTAGTGTAATGGCTAAACGTGTATTTGACACATATAATCAAAAAGAAGATGAAGCTATGGTATTATTTCTAAATATGATTAGTGATGGTAGAATTATTATCTTCACAATAAAGGTAATCCTTGTATAATCATATACAGTAGACTGTCACTTCCGACATCTGAATACTACGGCATTCTGTGAAATCCGTCATCTTTTTCATGCCCCGATTTATTTCCTTATTACTTCAACCAAAAAAGTATTGAGTAATCCTGATTCTGAATATTCCGAATTATGACATCAATCAGCGGTCCTGTCACAAGATTTGCGTTGAATTTACATTGGATAATCAGGTCTTCAATCAGTGGTCCCGTCACATGATCTGCGTTGAATCAAGATTGGATAATCCGGCCTTCAATCAGTGGGTGTTAACTGACAAAAAATCACCAATCAATTAAAAAGACATGTGTCAGTCTTTGATGATTATCTTGGTATTTGATTTGAGTTTCTGACATCAAATGCACAGTCGGCAAACCTTGGCGGATTCCGGTACTCTACATCTAGTACTTCCGGTATAATTCTTCCGGCAACTAATAATAATGAGATGTTCTGAATTTTGATTCTTGTATTTCGTCTTAGATAGAAACTGTTTGCGTTTCTGATTTGCATAATATAAAGGATTCAGTTATTGAAACTTTCAAATAAGTAGAAAAATTCTGTTACGAGTAATGGAAGCAGAAAATACTCAATTTTTAATACCCCAATCGGTACACAATTTTTTAGCGGATGTTACATGTGCCTGTTGTGTTGAGTTTCACTTGCTTAAATGAATGGCATGATTTCCCCTTGTCAGTGATGCAGTACGAAGGGCCTGCCAAGGACACCTGTCTAGTCCTTTGGATGGGATGAAAACCGAGGTCTCGTGTATATATTGGAATGCCCGTAAAAGATCCCCTGACAGTTGGAATTCGATATAAGAGTAGGTGATACTAATAGTGCCCGGGCAAAATTTCCCTCATACCACACTGTATGGTGTATGCCCGTCTTCATTAGCCCATTATAGGAGCAGAACAGTAGGACGTTAAACCCCATTTCATTTCATTTCTTAAATGAAACTTAATATTTCTCTTTTATCTTTATGAAATTAGGATGAAGGATCTTTTCAACTTAAAACAACAGCTCGACATTATTTAACGAAGTTAGGGAGTGAAAGCATCACAGATCTGGGTTGGAGAGATACCTGGGCGTTTGTTACTGTGAAAGGAGGTAAGCACACTTTTATTTATTAGAATTAACTGGGATGATTTCTGTTGTCATGATGCCTGTCCAACCTTGTAGGGTTTTCTTTGGGTCCTCTGGTTTCCTCTCACTGCTAAAGACCCCTACGCGCAAGCGAATTATTGAAATAAAATTAAACATATGTTAGTCCCGAAATGACCTAGTTTGTGTCGAGTGGATGTTAAACCCCATTTCTCTCTCTCTTCTATTTTCATGAGGATAAACCCCATCAGAATTCACAAATTTTTAATACCACATTTTAGAGTTATCTCCCCATATACCTTTAGACTTGTGAAATCTTGTGAATGCCGTACAGGACCAAGGTCTTGATAGATTTTGGAATTGTTTATTAAGGTGTAAGGAAGAATCCTATTGAATTTTGATTTTTAAAACTTATGAAATTGATACAGGACCAAGTTCATGATAGAATATTTGAAGACTTTTAAGTAATGGTATTGTTCAGTGATTACAAAGATGGAACTTGATTGAAATAACACAGATTTTGAAATTTTGGAGTTATCTATCTGTTTACGTAAAAATTTGTGAAATTTTGTTAACACAATACAGAACAAAGTTCTTTATAGTATATATTAAAACTCAGCAAGATTGTTAATTGGGACACAAGGAAGAATCCTATTGAATTTCAGATAATTAATATCGAATGTATTTGGCAGAGTGGTTGCACAGGTCACATTCCATCTTTTAAAGCTTTTAAATGCAGTACAGGACAAAGTCGTATTTTTGAATTGTTCAAGGCGGCACAACTTGGAAAATTGGGAATACTTTGATCCTATATTAATAAGTTATCGCCATGAAAATATCAAACACATTTGGTGAAGTCAACTGTCAATTTAACTTAGATACAACAAGCATGAAATTCACACATAAAAACTGACTTTATTTCTTTAAAAGAGAATTACATAAAATTACATATTTGCTGAAAACTAAGTAGTATAAACGTTTCTAAAAAAAATCTCTCGCACAAAATGAACCAGTTTTAATGACTTAAATATACTGGGACAGGTTCTTTAAAATACACTAAGTACATTATTTATCGTTGTTTATTTACAGGAAAGAAGATGGGTGAAGCTCATGGTAAATCATCAAGTTTAACAACATGGGGAGAAAAAGCTGTAGTTAATGTTCAAATAACTTTATCACCATCTTCAGGTATGTACTCAATACAAACATTGTGTGTCTTCCATACAAGCTGTTTGTGTTTCCTCCATACAAGCTGTTTGTGTTTCCTCCATACAAGCTGGTTGTGTGTCGTCCATACAAGCTAGTTGTGTTTCCTCCATACAAGCTTATTGTGTTTGTCCATACAAGCTGTTCAAGTTGTTTGTGTGTCCTCCATACAATCTGTTTATGTCTCTTCCATACAGTCTGGTTGTGTGTCTACCATACAATCTGGTTGTATGTCTTCCATTCAAGCTGTTTATGTCCCCCCCCCCATACAAGCTGTTAGTGTGTCTTCCATACAAGCTGTTTGTGTGTCCTCCATACAAGCAGTTTGTATTTCCTTCATACAATCTGGTTATGTGTCTTCCATATAAGCTGTTTGTCTTCCATACAAGTTGTTTGTGTCTCCTCCATACAATCTGTTTGTCCTCCATACAGTCTGTTTGTTTGTCGTCCATACAAGCTGTTTGTGTGTCTTCCATACAACACTGGTTGTGTGTCTTCCATACAAGTTGTTTGTGTGTCTTCCATACAAGCAGTTTATATTTCCTTCATACAATCTGGTTGTGTGTCTTCCATACAAGTTGTTTGTGTCTCCTCCATACAAACTGGTTATGTGTCTTTCATACAAGCTGTTTGTGTCTCCTCCATACAATCTGGTTGTGTCTCCTCCATACAAGTTTAATGCAGTCTGGTTGTGTGTCTTCCATACAATCTGGTTGTGTGTTTTACATTCAAGCTGTTTATGTCTCCTCCATACAAGCTGTTAGTGTGTCCTTCATACAATCTGTTTATGCCTCCTCCATACAAGCTGTTTGTGTGTCTTCCATACAAGCTTATTGTATGTCCTCTATACAAGCAGTTTGTATTTCCTTCATACAATCTGGTTGTTTGTCTTCCATACAAGTTGTTTGTGTCTCCTCCATACAATCTGTTTGTCGTCCATGCAATCTGTTTGTTTGTCGTCCATACAAGCTGTTTGTGTGTCTTCCATACAAGCAGTTTATATTTCCTTCATACAATCTGGTTGTGTGTCTTCCATACAAGTTTTTTGTGTCTCCTTCATACAAGCTGGTTATGTGTCTTTCATACAAGCTGTTTGTGTCTCCTCCATACAATCTGGTTGTGTCTCCTCCATACAAGTTTAATGCAGATATTTTTGTTTTGAAAACGATTAATGAGACTGTATTCATTGTTGTTTTAGATTCTAAATGTAAGTGGACTGGTGATGATGTAATAAGTACTAGACGTCAATCATTCTGTAGTAAGGTGGAGGGATACGGTAGTGTCTGTAGTTGTACTGATCCAGCACCAATAACATTCCCACGTAAAAAGGTAAATAGCCATAAGGTGATGAGCCAAAGGGCCCTAAAGCACTGTTAACTACAAAGTCCACTGATGAGCTGCAAGACTAACATGATTTTATGATGGACATTAGTCTTAAGTCTTCATAGCACTGCTGTCCGGGCAAAGTTGCCTTCATAGCACACTGTATTGCATATGCTGGTCTTCATTAGCCCAGTCAGAGTAGGACGGTTAACCCCATTTCATTTCATTTCTTTTGGGATCTGAATATAAGCCATCAATAAACCAGAATCGTAAAACACCTTAAATCATTCATCAATCAGTAAAAGGGAAACTCTTGTTAAAAATCAACTGAAACGAAAGTTGATGTGCATACATGTAGAATCTGTTGATTATTATTGAGTACTACTTGTGTGTTTATTTTTCAGTTAGATAATAATAAGATATCTGAGATACCTATAGCAGTGATCGCTAGTAATCGTCCTCATTATCTTTATAGGTTAGTATTATATACGTCACAGTCAATATATAAAATCAATGTCTAATATTAGTCCATTTGTATAATGACAGACACTTTTAGTCAATTTGTATAATGACTGACACTCTTAGTCAATTTGTATAATGACCGACACTATTAGTCAATTTGTAAAATGACAATTTCACTTAGATTGGTGCAATATGACGCTCATATGTACATTAAACATACATTATGCCAGAGCTAAATCTGCCTATTGCAGGTCTTTCTTTAGGCCTGAAATGTTATATAAACTATTAATTAAGACTTTTATTAATATGACAAGACCATAATCAGCTCTCGATGCCATCGGATATCTCTGATATAAGTTCATTTTGCGCTATCTATTTTCAAACTATTAAAGTAATAATGGCCAACTCTTTATCTAAATCTTACATAATGTATCTTTAAAGGGTCTTTCCCGATTTGAACAGTCTCAAAAATAAACGTCTGAGTATGTATTAAATTTAACCGCCAAAATATAGAGAAATATTGAGTCGTTTGGATGTGAACTTAAAATTGCTTATCCAGACACTTAACTCAATTTGTTTTCGTTGGGTGAACTGATAATCAATTCCTGTTCCTTTAGAGGTCTATACATGCGCTGTATTTGATAACGAAAGGTAAATTTCACCTACACATTATTTTCATAAAATAAAAGTCAGGTTTTATCCAGACACCGTATAGCTTGGAACACCGGTCTCCATTTCCAGATTAAGACTGACGGGTTTAAGTTGTTTGAAAACGTATCACAGGTAGAGGATTTTAACCCAAAATTAAGCAGTTTTATTTTATGATCAGTAGTGGAATACCGCGTTTTATCAGTGAAATAAAAGTGTTATTCCACTGGCTAGCAGTGAAATAGTTGTTTTTACCTAAAATGATTGTAAAATCATAAAATAAATAGAACATTTGTCGTTTTGTCGTGAATGACATATTTTATTTCATCTCTAAGCAAGAAATTGTTTATATTTTCACTCATGCTACACATTCGTGAAAATATAAGTTTTCTTGCTTCTCGATGAAATAAAATATGTTATTCACTTTAAAACGACAAATATCCTCTATTTATTCTCCAAAATATTATCGGGATTGGCCCTTTAAATAGATATTTCCTGTTTTTTCCAATTGCCAAATGAGTTTGTGTTTCTATATTTATACAGAATGTTAACAACATTATTATCAGTACCGGGTGCTAATCCTGATATGGTTACAGTATATATTGATGGATATTTTGATGTGAGTAACATTTACCATTTGTCTTTTGATAATGGGGTTTGGGTAGCCGTATGGTTAGCGCGTGCACATTATATCATAAGTTCTGTCATTGTGTGAACTGACGTAGTTTCGATTCTCCGGTTTTACATGACAAGGGAGTAGGGTCGCCTGTCCAACCTTGTGGGTTTTCTCCGGGTCCCCCTGTTTCCTCCCACTGCTAAAGACCCCTACGCGCAAGTGAATTATTGAAATAAAATTGAACCATGTCCATGTGTTAGTCCCGAAATGACATGGTTGGTGTCGAGTAGACGTTAAACCCCATTTTTCTCTCTCTCTCTCTCTCTCTCTCTCTCTCTCTCTCACAGTACTAAAATATGATGTTCTTCTTGCAGGAACCACTAGAAGTAACCAAACTATTGGGATTACGTGGAATTCAACATACTCCACTTGGTATTAAAAATGCCAGAATATCACAACATTATAAAGCTAGTCTAACAGCTACATTTAATTATTATCCTGTAAGTCAATTAATAATATTATAATGTCCGACTGCACGATGTAGGCCCAATCGTTTTAAAGCTATGTATGATATTAAAGATCTGGGATCCCACGGTGGGTATTGCCCTGATTTACTTACCTGGAGTCCTGGAGCCGAGTTCACAAAGCATTCACAGTGAAAGTTTCCGACTGGCCCACGAATCCATTCACTTGATTTGATGTTTGTTTATTTTTTGCAATGTCTATAATATTCTGTCTTGTCCGCAGGTTTATCTTGTAGATTTTGTTTTGTGTGTAGTGCAGTCATCCTGCACTTACTATTATGTTAAGAATTTGCTCAACTTTCAATCACTGTTTATGAGAACTGTCTTTGATCCAGAAACACAAAACTTTGATCATAGTTTCTTATTGGTGTATTTGATACATTAAAACAACAAAAGTTTTATAAAGGGCTATATTTTAGTTAAAATATGGCGAACAATTTTGAGTAAATTCTTACCTTACGTCTGAGAATGTTTTGTGAAACCAGAGGTAGGTGTTGGTTCAGAATGTTCATCTGTATTTTATAGTCTGGTTTCCCCTTGCCTTTGCTGCAGGATGGATGCAAGGGAAAAGTTTCTAGTCGTTCGGATGGGACAAAAAACCTAGGTCCGTCTGTGCACTTAAGAGAACATTTGGCAGTTGGAATTTGATCTGTGGACAAAATTCTAGTCCTTTGCAAACGTAACCATGGAAATAAAATTGACCATATATGATATTTTCATCAATAATTTATTCTCTTCTATTCTTTTGTACAGAAATCTGACTTTGCAATAGTTATTGAGGAAGATTTGGACGTTTCTCCCGATTTTTTGAAGTAAGTAGATTTATGATATCTTTATAAAATCTTACATCAGCGAAGCATGAAATTATCTGCACACCATCTATTGGTTCTCTTTTCAAAAGGAAGGTTGAATAGTTAGTGTGTGCGCGTTATATCAGAAGGTCTGTCATTGGGTAAAGTGGTGTGGTTTCGATTCCTCGGTTGTATGTGACAAGGAATACTGTTGCCTGTCCAACCTCGTGGGTTTTTCCCGGGATCTTCCGGTTTGTGTCCTCCCACTGCTAAAGACCCCTATGCTCAAGCGAATTATTGAAATAAAATGAAGTCATATGTTAGTCGTGAAATGACCTGGTTTGTGTCGTTAAACCCCATTTCTCTCTCTCTTCATACCTGATGCAGTCTACTCACACTTCCCCTGTGTATGAGTGCTTACTTACTGTCTATAGTAACTCAGAGTTAACATTGTCTTCTGGGTTTTTATTTGCTAGTTTATGTGTGATTTTGGTTCTCCTGTAATATATTTTTAGATAAACAATATGGGATGTTATAATTGCATCCCATCTGTAAACAATTGCTTCCAACTATGTATCTTTAACTCTGATATGATAGTTACTCTGAGATGATATTTTTTAATTTTTTTATAATTTATTTATTTTTCAGTTATTTTAGTCAAACAAAGCATTTATTAGAAGAAGATTCCAGTTTATATTGTATATCAGCTTGGAATGATCAGGTAACTATGTAAATGAAATTTAACGTCAAACTTTTTTGCCACCAATCCGGCTTAAGAAGACATGCATATATATGGCTTGCAGTGTGCTATGAGCGAAGGGGGGGGGGGGAATGGTTGAATGGTTAGTGTGTGCACATTGTATCATAAGGTCTGTCATTGAGTCAGGTGGCATGGTTTCAATTCCCTGGTTGTGTGTGACAAGGACTAATGTCGTCTGTCCAACCTCGTGGGTTTTATCTGGGTCCTCTGGTTTCCTCCCACTGCTAAAGACTCCTACGTGCACCCAAATTATTGAAATAAAATTGAACCATATGTTAGTCCGAAATGACCTAGTTTGTGTCCAGTGGAGGTTAAACCCCATCTCTCTCTCTCTCTCTCTCTCTCTCTCTCTGGTAGTAGCTACTTCAAACCAATGATAACCAAAATTTGTTATTTCAGGGGTATGATCATTTGATTGAGAGATTAAAATCTTAATTAATCTTTAATTCCATATGTTTATTTCAGGGCTACGAACATTCTTGTAAAAATGAGAGTTTATTGTATAGAGTAGAAACTATGCCTGGACTTGGTTGGTTACTTAGAAAAAAATTATATAAAGAAGAATTAGAACCACATTGGCCGACACCAGATAAGGTAGGTATTTCAAATTACATTAAGATATTCTGAATTATGGCAAACCAACTGCATAACGTGTGCACATTGGAGTGGATCAGTTCGGAAATAATTTCAAAGTATGATGTTGTCATCAGTTTAGTTCAGCCACATACCGAAGGGGTATCTTGAATGGACAAATAAAGACATTTTTATATGCCCACATTTTCATGTCGACATATATTGTCCGTCCACAATTTGTTTGTGGACACTCTATACAGGTCACAATTTTTTTATCCGATTTTGACAAAACTTGAAATCTAGGTTTATCTTTCAAAGATCTTTGTTCCTTTCGATATTGGCATGTATCGGATTGTACCTTCATGGATTATGGCCCCTGATTGTACGAAAAATCGTGTTTTTAACTTGTTTACACTCTAGAGATCAGAATTTTGATCCGATTTTGATAAAATTTGAAATATATGCTTATAACCTAACAATTTTGGTTCCTTTCGATATTTTCATATATTGGATCGTAACTTCCTGGATTATGGTCCCGGATTAAACAAAAAATTGCATTTTTAGCGCATGGTCAAACTGGAAGTCACAATTTTTATCTGATTTTAAAAAACCTTAGGACCTTAGGATCATTAGGACCTAAGACGCGTTAACGTCGCAGGTTCTAATGTAAACTCTCAGGGCATGTCTATTGGACAATAACTCGTACCCTCTAAATGCGAAACAGGAAGTGTTTATCGACATTGTAACATGCTATTTTAGCATTTTAAAATAAATTACTAAAACAGAGGGGTGTTATTGTCCAATCGACAGTGTCTAATTGACCAATCGAAATGCAAGATTCACCCTTAAGCATGTTACAATCCCTGTTAGAGAATCATGTTTCACAAAATTGTACTTACTAATGGATTCAAAATCACTCAAATGAAATTCATTGTCTTTAAACATACATTATGCAAGAGCTGAATTATTATAGCAAGAATGGCCAACTCTTTATAAAACTCTTCACTAATGTATCTTTAATGTAACTCACACAAAACATCTGAAATGGAACTATATAAATTATAAGATTAAAATGATTATTAATTGTTTTTTTTAGCAATGGGATTGGGATATGTGGATGAGAAATAACGCTGTACGTAAAGATAGAGAATGTATAATACCAGATGTTTCTCGCACCTATCATTTTGGGGCTAAAGGTCTTAATATGAATCCCTATTTTCAAGAAGTTTATTTTAAAAAACATTCCTTAGTCACAAAACCTAATGTAAAATTAAAAGATTTAGAGAGGTAAGTAACTAAAATCTATTTATACTAAGTTCCCACTATCACGATTCGCGTTACTATTGAAATCGTGGAGTAATCGTGGTGATCCTTTCAGATCTTATCATATATTGAGGTCTGTCGTAGCAATTGCATTTATCGTATCCTCACTTACTAGATCGTGGTCTCCATAGGGACAATCCTATCGTAAAGCATTGTACGACAGTGGCAACCTGGCATTAGATGTAAAAGAAAAAAATCCAAAGGAAAAAAAAAAAACAACAGTAATATTGGACGATTGGTTTATAAAAACAGGCTCGATATTGTCCCATATAGCTCTGTTTAGTTTTGTTATGTTTCCAATCGCTAAATGCCACTAAATGATTACCTATAGATGTACATGATATGAAAAATCATCAGTTTTTGACTGATTTACTCTGATTAGCAAAATATTTATGAAAAAAAATAAATGTGACTATATTTAGTAGTATAAATATTTTTTTAAAATATGAACCAGAACGCGGGTTATATAACAACTCTTCCAGATCCTAGTGTAGTAAAGACAAGTAAAACGAAATTTTGAATTATAAAAAACGAAACGAAATAGGATATGTGTTCTAATCAGATTATATTTTAGGTTGAAACAGAAGGAATATGAATCTGTTATAGTAGTACCAAGTGTTAATAGTTTGTATTATATATTTTAGGATGAAACAGAAGGAATATGAATCTGTTATAGTAGAATTAATAAAATCTGGTGAAGTTTTATCAGATAAATCTAATCCTTGTGATGATAATTTTATACCAGACACAAAGGTAAGTTCTTTCTTCAATTGGGGAATAGTCCTTCGGATGATACGAAAAACTGAGGTCCCATGTATATATTGGAATGCACGTAAAAGATCCCCTGGCAGTTGGAATTCGATATAAGAGTAGGTGAAAGTGCCGCTGCCCGGGCAAAATTTCCCTCATAGCACACTGTATGGCGTATGCCCGTCTTCATTAGCCCAGGATATGAGCAGAACAGTAGGACGTTAAACCCCATTTCATTTGGGGAGTTGTCTGTCATTGAGTCTCTCTCTCTGTTGCTTCATTTATATTTTATGGAGCATTAAATCAGAAAGGACACACACATTTCTCTTTGACACACCTTAATCAGCCTTAGGTGGGGGGGGGGGGATGGTCTGTCATTTAGTCAAGTAGCATGGTTTCAATTCTAGGTTTGTACGTGACAAGGAGAAGGGTAGCCTGTTCAACCTTGTGGGTTTTCTACGGGTCCTCTGGTTTCATCCCACTGCTGAAGAACCCTTAGGCTCAAATGAATTATTGAAATAGAATTAAACCATATGTTAGTCCCGAAATGACCTAGTTTGTGTCGAGTGGACTTTAAACCCCATTTCTCTCACTCTTTCATCAGCCTTAATTAGTTTCACTATTTCATAATGTTGGGCCTAGAGTATCTATGACCACCGGAGACCATGATGACCAAAAGCTAATTCTCATTTGGTGGGCCATCATACACCACTTAAGCTTTCCAGTAGAATAGCTGTAGTCAGCTGGTAACCTTAGTGACCAGTACCAAAAGGGTCAGTATAATATGCCTATGAAATGAAATGGGGTTTAATGTCCTACTTTTCTGCTCAGACTGGGCTAATGAAGACGGACATAGCCTGCTATATATAGTCGATTTGAATACATTTTGTGATGGATGATTTAACGTCAAAATGGAAAATCGAGACTTTGTTGGTTTTTTTATCGTACCAACTTTAGTAGTAATGATGATCGAGACTAAGCCTGAAATTCAATCACTGATATCTTGGTTCAGAGTGGAGCAATTTGACTAAAATTTTCAGCATATTCTCTTTACGTTATCTATTTTTTAACTTTTATAGCGAAAACTGTCCACTCTGTATCTAATCTCTCATAATGCTCCTTTAAGTTTTGTGTGTTTTATTTGTTATTACAGGATAAAACCTATATATTGTATATAAAGATGAATTCCCCGGTTGATTATGCAACATGGAAAGTTTTAGCTAAGGTAAGGCGCATGATCACTTATGTTACTAGATATCGGGCTACAAAAATCGCATACAACATCATATTATCAACTAGATTGTTACATATGATACATTTCATGGGTTTTTATGAACCAGGATCGCTAGCCTGTAGGTGTAGAGGGGGGTTGGATGGCTGAATGGTTAGCACGTGCGAGCTGCATCATGAGGCCTGTCATTGAGTCAACTGGCGTGGTTTCGAATCCCCGGTTGTAAGTGACAAGGAGTAGGGTAGCTTATCCAACCACATGGGTTTTCTCTGGGTCCTCAGGTTTCCTCCCACTGCTAAATAAAAAATTAAACCATATGTTAGTCCCGAAATGACCTAGTTTGTGTCAAGTGGACGTTAAACCCTATTTCTCTCTCTCTCTGTAGGTCACGTGATCGATCTTGTTTAAAAATTCGTAAAAAAAATCATTTAAAATCACCAAAAATCATCTATAATTTGTACTCATGTCCAGTTTCAAGCTGACAGTTTAATTTTGAAAACGAGTGTCCAATTTACAAGCGCTTATTTGCTTGATCACTGTTAAAAAATAAACAACTCAATTGATTATTGATGTATGATGACTAATTTTTTAACAGTGATCAGGAAATTAAATACTTGTAAATTGGACACTCATTTATCAAAATTAATCAGTCAACTTTAAACTAGACACTAGTACAAATTAGATGATTTGGGATGATTTTTACGAATTTTAAAACAAAGATTTGATATTAAACGAACGTGAAAGAAATTGATGCTAGATACACAAGATTAAATGATACCTGGGTTACAGTCTTACTGCTCTACTCTAATTGTTATTCAAATATTTGGTCATTTAATTTCAGTGTTTTCATATCTGGGATTTAGATGTTAGAGGTTTTCACAAGGTTAGTAGTATACCATCTTTATATCATATTGTTTGGTGGCTGTCTGAGGTTGGTGGCCACCCCAGGGCTGTCCGAGGTTGGCGGCTTCAATGGGGCTGCCTGAGGTTGGTGGCTACACCAAGGCTGTCCGAGGTTGGCAAATACACCAGGGCTGTCCAAGGTTGGCTTCTACACTAGAGCTATTCGAGGTTGGCAGCTACACCAGGGCTGTTCGAGGTTGGCGGTTACACCAGGACTGTCTGAGGTTAGCAGCTACGTTGGGGCTGTCCTAGGTTGGCGTCAGTTGGAGCAGACCAGTAGGACGTTAAACCCCATTTCATTTTTCATTTCTTCTAGTTAACCTGATGTCACTCACCACGTAATTGTTTATTTTATTTTTATATTGTTTATTTACAGAGTATGTGGAGAATGTTTTTAAAACAAAATCATTTATTAATAGTAGGAGTACCTGCGTCTCCATACGCGTAAGTATTTTGCCTGTCTAACCTCGTGGGTTTCCTCACTTTCCTCCCAACAGGATTTTCCGGCGTGGTTCCTCCATGTCAGTGGTGCAAGACAGAGGGCCTGGCAAGGAACAGCGTATAGTCTTCGGATGGGACAAAAAACCAAAGTCCTATGTACACATTAGCGTGCACCTAAAAGATCCCTTGGCAGTTGGAATTCAACGTAAGAGCAGGCAATATTTCGCTTATAGTAGACTGTATGGCGTATGCCCGTCTTCGTTAGCCCAGTCGGAGCAGAACAGTTGGACGTTAAATTCCATTTCATCTTCATTTCCTCCCACTGCAGATTATTGAAATAACAATACTCCCAATATGACTGGATTAGTGTGATATTCTTTTTATTCATTTACAAATATATAGGGGGTGGGGGATGGTCGAATGGTTAGCATGTGCGTGCTGTATCAGAAGGTCTGTCATTGAGTCAACTGGTGTGGTTTCGATCCCAGGTTGTACATGACAAGGAATAGGATCTCTTGTCCAACCTGGTGGGTTTTCTCTGGGTCCTCCGGTTTCCTCCCACCGCTAAAGACCCTTACGTGCAAGCGAATTATTGAAATAAAATTGAACCATGTTAGTTTGTGTCGAGTGGACGTTAAACCCCATTTCTCCCCCTACTCCCCCCCACTCCCTCCCTTTTATGCTTATGCGTGTTGAGTGGTCATTTTATGAGATTACTAGCAGGATACCCGGCTTCGCTCGGGGGTCATAACTCCGAAACCGGAAGTGGTAGACTAACGCCACCTGGTCTATGTTACTCCCTGGTCCGAGCTACCCCTATACCCAAAATTTCAGACTCGGGGCAGACCTAGTGTAGCTGCCAACCCCGAACAGACCGGCTTCGCTCGGGGGTCATAACTCTGGAAGTGGTAGACTAACGCCACCTGGCCTATGTTACTCCCCGGTCCGAGCTACCCCTATACCCCAAATTTCAGACTCGGGGCAGACCTAGTGTAGCCGCCGACCCCGAACAGACAGACTTCGCTCGGGGGTCATAACTCCGAAACAGGAAGTGGTAGACTAACGCCACCTGGCCTATGTTACTCCCCGGTCCGAGCTACCCCTATACCCCAAATTTCAGACTCGGGGCAGACCTAGTGTAGCTGGCAACCCCGAACAGACCGGCTTCGCTCGGGGGTCATAACTCCGAAACCGGAAGTGGTAGACTAACGCCACCTGGCCTGTCTTACTCCCCAGTCCGAGGTACCCCTATACCCCAAATTTCAGACTCCGGGTAGATGTAGCCGCCAACCCCGAACAGACAGACTTCGCTCGGGGGTCATATTTCCGAAACCGGAAGTGGTAGACTAACGCCACCTGGCCTATGTTACTCCCCGATCCGAGCTACCCCTATACCCCAAATTTCAGACTCGGGGCAGACCTAGTGTAGCCACCAACCCCGAACAGACCTGCTTCGCTCGGGGGTCATAACTCCGAAACCGGAAGTGGTAGACTAACGCCACCTGGCCTATGTTACTCCCCGGTCCAAGCTTCCCCTATACCCTAAATTTCAGATTCAGGGCAGACCTAGTGTAGCCGCCAACCCCGAACAGACAGACAGACAGACAGACAAACGACAGTCATAAATATATATATAGATGAAATGCTTTGCTGCTTGCTTTAACATTTTTGTGTGTTTTTGTTGGGTGGTTTATTAACAAATTGATTTTATATTTTAGAGAATACAAACCAGAACATGTAACACCTTTATTTCTAAATTCGACAGTAACGACACAGAAAACAAGAAGATAGCACTAGACGCATAATTTATTATTAAACAGTTGACATAAAATTACATCCATTTCATATATATATAATATACATTTTATTTTATTTATTACTTACTCATGATATACATGATACATATTTTTACATATTTAAAAATATTTATTTCCTAATCTGTCATGTATCAAACATTGTTGTTATATTTCATGTTCATTATCATTCAAAGTCCCTTTTTTCATAAATACTGATCATTATTTAAAGGTCACCGGAAACGCTTCATAAATATTTTAAATAATGCAAGCAATTATGGCAACATATCGTTTCTATAAGTATAGCAACAATCTCGAATGTCAATGTTACCTGCCACAGGTAAATTTCAACGTTTTCCGCCACTCTCCGTGAGTTGTCGTAATTTCCGTCAATAAACAATCAGTGACATCATTTTAGTCCATATGCTCATAGAAATATAGACTAAAATATGAGGGACTAAAATGACTACTCATGGAAATACCGGTAGGAGGAAATTACTAACATTGAAATTTACCTGTTGCAGTGACCTTTAAATTTCAGGCAATAATAATTCTTAATTTATATAGCGCAAAAATATTTTATGGCAATACAAATGCATCTTATTTTTCATGCTTTTATCTGGGTTAAAATTGACTCAAATTGATTATTTAAGATTTCAATAAGATACATCAACGATGTCAGGGGTGTGGCGAACTTGTCTAGTTGACATACAGTCATGACGTGGGTTGTGACTGCTGTGGGCGACTCAAATTGTTTATTTAACATTTAGATAACAGAGCTAAAACATCAGCGTCAGGCAGGGGTGTGGTGAAATGTATGGCATATACCCGTATTCATTAGCCCAGTTGGAGCAGAATAGTAGGATGTTAAACCCCATTTCGTTTTATTTCTAGTGTGCATTATGGTCACAGTTGATTGTCTGAACCTGGGACTGACCATCTGAGAAAGTAATCAGTTAATTTACATTTTTTGAAATTATCTTTTCAAATAATTTAAAGTTAAAACACAATTAATTTGTAGTTTGTTTCAATCAAAATTTTAAAATTGATGTATAACTAGAGACCTGGACATTTTTTCAGCAGATATGTAATTGTTTTCTTATATCTTTATTTTTAATCGCTCAAGATTATGTCTGTGAATTATTTTTACAATTTTTATTTTATCTGTGTTCATTCCATTAAATTTTGTGTTATCGGAGGGCCAGGTTTATAAGGGAACCCTGAAAGATAGTTACTTTAGTAACAAAGTCTTATAGACCCCTAGTGCTCTCTCTTCGTTACTGGGGCGTCCTAATCACAACCAATATGAAAAAAAGGCTTTTCCCCATCTGGGTTCTAAGGCTATTTTGGAATCCTTACGGTCTATTTTTCACCGTGATTCACTTAAGACTATGGGTCTCAAATAGTCTGTTCAGACGCTTAAGTTGAACTGGTTTAAAAACCCCAGGAATCGTTAAACCAGTTGAACTGCGTCTAAACCAGTTTAAAAACCCCAGCTTGCGACCTGCATTCGAGAAGGGTTTTTTATTTTTAACTGGTTCATCTTAGTCGTCTGAACAGGTTGTCTTAAAAACCTGTGGCTCCAGCCTGCTTTGAGCATGCGCAGTACGCAGTAAGTTACATTGCTGTGAAAATATCGGGGTCAGACAGTGCCAATGTTATCGAAAGCGTGCGAGAACCGAATAAAGAATAAGAAGCTACCCATGTGTAGTTAACTCTAACCTCTGACCGAAGAAGAGGTCAGAATAGTTCAACTGGTTTGGCTTATAGTATGTATAATATGAACTGGTTTAATAAAGGGCGTCTGAACGGGCTATAAGACCTTGTTACTAAAGTAACTACCTGAAGGAGGGAGTCCCCATACTACTTTATTTATATAAAAATGTAATAATAAAATTAGTTTTATTAATTTAAGTAAAACTTATTAAAGTGTGTCAATATGTAGTTTATTATTCATTTTGGTTCACGTTTTATTTGTCATGTATTATAAGTTCTATGTTGATGGGGGGATCACGTGGCTAAGTGGGTAAGACGCTGGCTCGCTAGCCTGGAGGTCGGGTGTTTGATCCCTGCATTGGCCAAGAAAGTTCATCTAGATTTTCCGGCGTGGTTTTCCCTAGTCGTTGAGATGGGGCGAAAAAAACGAGGTCACTTTGCCGTATTGGCGTGCACGTAAAAATTCCCTTGGCAGTTGGAATTCAATATAAGAGTAGGCCGTAGCGCCGCTGCACGGGCAAAATTTCCCTCATAGCACACTGTATGGTGTATGCCCGTCTTCATTAGCCCAGTTTAGGAGCAAAACAGTAGGACGTTAAACCCTATTTCATTTCATTTCTATGTTGATGTTTGCTCGTGACCCCGAAGGTCTAAATCTGGCCCTCCATGTTATATCAGGCTCAAGTTTTGTAATTTTTATCTCATTTTGGTCACCAAATTTACATTGTAATTAAAATTTATCTGTTTTGCTAGATGTGTTACGACAACTGTAATAATAGGCATTTTAAAAAATCAGCCAAACTGTTATTAGTTATTTGTTTAATATATAAAAAAATAAGATTTTAAGATAAATATAAATATTATGTATATAGATGAAAATATAAAAATGAGCGGGGGATTCAGGGGAGGATCCAGAGGGAGGGTTTGGACCCCCTGCTCAGCTACATAAAAAAAAATAATTGTAAAAACACTTTGAGACTAGTGTAAGGGTCGTGTGGTTTATCCTTTATCATCAGATGGTGGGATGGGATGGGCATTCAAAGCACGATATAATGATATAGACATATGTGATAGTACAATTAATGCTTGGCATCAATGAAATTGAATCACAATATGATCCTATTAATTCATTATAAAAATTGACATCAAACAGGAAGTTGGATTTCTCTCTTTAAAAAGCTCAATGGGTATGTATGCCTACTAATTTAGAGAGGATGATGGCATCATGCATTGTCAACTGTCAAATTTCCTTAACAGGAGCCTGGCAACCCCCCTCCTGCAAAAATTCTTGGATCCGCCCCTGGGATTTTTATATTTTCATTTATATCTACTTTCTCCCCTGCATAATTGTTTGATCCAGCAGGTACACAGATCTGTCGGCCTGTTCAGCCTCTGGTACTCTGTTAAAGGAGTGTTGCCGTTCCACCATTTTAACTATTATGTATATAGATCATTTCTAGCATGAAGATAAACAAATGATATTCCATTTATTTTATTGTCTCTAATGTTATCAACACATTTTAATCTCATTAAAATACACTTTATACATTTTGTTGATTTTGTTGTATATTGGCCTCGCCCATATATCCACCTGTCTTCCACAATTGGCCTCGCCCATATCCACCTGTCATCCACAATTGGCCTCGCCCATATCCACCTGTCATCCACAATTCTGACAAGGAGTAGATTCGCCTACCTAACAGTCTGGGCAAATTTCATCACACACTGCATATCCAAAGTCTAATTTTTGAATTCGAAACGTCAAGGGGTTTTTTTGGAATGCACAGTGTACCTCGGTTTTTGGTTCCATTCAAACAACTAAACTACTCTGGAAAATACCGGAGAACTTTCTCGACCAACACCAGGATCGAACCTGGAGATTAAGTCAACGATGTCATATGTATAGTGCGTACACAGAATAAAAATATTTTTACTCTGTGGTGCGTAGGTAACTAACGTACGAAAATTAATTGGTGGCAAGCTTTTTTTTCGCACGTATACAGTGAATGGCCATTTTGCTCAGTAATCCCAGCCAGAATTTGACTATTTTCTAAATTTGCGTTAAAGTTTAAAATATTTGTTTTAGAACTGAAATAAATTAACTATTAGTCAATCCCAACGCTAAAAACATCAACAGAATTGATTGTGTATATCTGAAATAGACACGACCGACGCACAAAATAGTGCCAAGATGGCAGCCTCTATGAACAACCATTCGCAGACGCTGTCATTGAAGACAACGTCAATTCTATGAGTTGTAGATGTTATTTTTGTGAAAAATCATTGGAAGAAGAGAGAACACGTTGGGACTGTACGAATTATATAGTCTTTATGGGTGCAAAGGACACAATGCTGAAGATAAACCTATTGTTTACAATGTAACGTGTCGTTGACCTCATGACCCATTGACGTCAATGTCATGACCTGTGATGTGTAGATCACGTGATATGGATATCATGGCTATTGACTGTGTCTGAGATACTTCTCCGCAGATGTTCAGAATGATGTATAGTGGTCAAGATAGATAAACTTGTGTTCAGTTGTCACATATCAATTGTTCCGTAATGACAGCCGATTTCATTATGTCTTCTTTATATAAATTCCTGACAAGGACAGCTGTCTAGTCGTTCGGATGGGACGAAAAACCGAGGTCCCGTGTACACATTGGCGTGTACGTAAAAGATCCCTTGTCAGTTGGAATTCGATATAAGAGTAGGCCGTAGTGCCGCTGCCCGGGCAAAATTTCCCTCATAGCACACTGTATGGCGTATATATGCCCGTCTTCATTAGTCCAGTTTAGGAGCAAAACAGTAGGACGTTAAACTCCATTTCATTTCATTTCATTTATATAAGTTATTTAGGCTATTATCTTTATATCATCAGCTGAATTTAGTATAACTTGTCTTGGGTTTTTGGATGTAAATCAGGAGCTGGGAAGCTCACGATCTGATGAAAACACAGATCCTATTTCGTTACGTTTTTTATAGTTCAAAATTTCGTTTTACTTGTCTTTACTACACTAGCATCTGGAAGAGTTGTTACGGCGACTTCTTGGCGTGGGTAAACCACGAGAAAGGTCAACGCTGATTGATTAATCGATGTCTGACGTCATAGGGTCAAAAGCCGCTTGAATGAACGATGCGACCTTCCACGATAACTAGCCAGATCTTCATGTAGTGTAGGCCATCGAAAGTATAAAAAAAACGAAACGATATTTATATCTGTATTTTAATAAGATTGGGAAGCTCAAGGCAAAACGAGGGCATATCGCAATGTAGGCAGGCGTGAATTAGGACGGTGGCAGTAAGGACTACAAAATAGCTAAATATATATGAAAAATGTTTGAATTTTGCAAAACATCGCAGGTCGTAGACGGCAAACAACCGTAGACACAGACTAGTCACAAACACCTAGAATGACTCAAACTAAATAAAGAGAAACACAGCTACGAACTTATCAGTAGACACCAGGGAATACTAAACTGAGATCACGTGGTTTTTCGCGTTTTCTTAGGGTGCCGTTCAAAATTTCACGGCACACTTCGGAGGTTCCGCGACACACTGGTTGAGAATCACTGCGTTAGACCCTTTTATACTATTGGAGAATACGGAGGCCATATAAAATAGATATAAATTTATGTTTTTTAAATATATATTTTGAATAAACTAAACAGGCTAAAAATATCATTCTTTAGTCAGTTGTTATCGTGCATGTTGTATTTTTCAAGTATACTAATATGAAATGAAATGGGGTTTAACGTCCCACTGCTCTGCTTCGACTGGGCCAATGGACGGGAGAGAGAGAGAGAGAGAGAGAGAGAGAAATGGGGTTTAACGTCCACTCGACACAAACTAGGTCATTTCGGGACTAAAATATGGTTTAATTTTATTTACATAATTCGCTTGCGCGTAGGGGTCTTTAGCAGTGGGAGGAAACCGGAGGACCCGGAGAAAACCCACGAGGTTGGACAGGCGACCCTACTCCTTGCCACGTACAACCGGGGATTCGAAACCACGCCAGTCGACTCAATGACAGACTTTATGATACAGCGCGCGCACGCTAACCATTCAGCCATCCAACCCCCCCCCCCCAATGGACGGGCATACCCCAATACAGTGTGCTATGATGGGGCAGCGGCACTATGGCCTACTCTTATTTTCATGGGAGCCACGGTGGGTAAGACGCTGGCTCGCTAGCCTGGAGGTCGGGTGTTCGATCCCTTCATTTCACTTACTAGTATTTCCATCCCCAACCGCCAAGGGTTCTTTTGCGTGCACGCCAATTTTTTCATGGGGTATTTGGTTTTCGTCCCACTCGAACGACTATACATAATGGGAAGTGTAGTAGGGTGGTATATTCTCTTTAAGTATTTGGTGTGATATTCTCTTTAAGTATTTTATCCAGTTCTATTGTCCTGTATATCCAGTAAGTTTTGTTTTTCCAGTTGGTATAATTAGTTTAGTTTATAGTTTAAACATGTTATTTTAACATGGTGAGTAGTATTCTGTTACTTAGATACTGTCCTAACATCATGTTTCACCTTTAGTCACTTTTTCTTAGATCTCCATCTTGAAGGCAACACTTTCTTTCCACAGCACTGCATTTACTAATTCGGGTAGGTTTATATTTGTTTAACTTGACTTGACAATATAATACAAGACAATTCCTTTCTAATTTAAATACTGTTTTATTCTCATATAAGTTATAAATAAAATAATACATGTATAATCAATCTAAAGAAGTAAACACTTATATTTTAAAATGTATGTCTAATTTGGTGTTTGTTTTATCTTTTAGTGTTTCTCTCTTTTGTACCTGTATATGGTTTCCTTATACATTATTAGTTCTAATTCTTCATTTCTTAAGAGCACCTTTATCAGGGTATGTTTATAGTTAGTTTCTCATTTTGTTATGTTATTTATGTATAATAGTTCTAAATGCTCCATTATTATTACCTGTAATAGGCAATGTATCTCTCTATATTATATGATTAGTTATTAGAAGCTATTTCTAAGCTACATCCTTTTTTATATATATTTATTCTTATTTGCTAATTTAGTTATTTTGTCATTTCAGTGCTCTTCTTCTTGTCTTCTACTTGGTTCTTCTTTCTGTAAATAATTGGCTGTTTTGTTCCTGTGTATTGTAAATAAACTGTATAGCTGTGTTCCTGTCTTTGTCTCTTTTCGTTCAACCCGCGACCTGGAAAGGGGATAGTCCGTTGTCCATCGATCCTGCTACAGAAGCACGCTGGAAAATCAGCTTCGTCGTTTCTGAATAAGCATTGCCCAAACAACACACTTTTCTAAATTTGGTTAACATTCATCAATTAGTTTAGGCACGCTTAGAAAATGAGAAAAAAAAACACGCGATCCCAATTGAATATTCACTGGTGTTCATAGCTGTGTTTTTCTTTATTTAATTTGAGTCTTTCTATGTGTCTATGACTAGTCTCTGCCTACAGTTGTATGCCGTCTGGCTTACCATGTTTTTATTTTGCAAAATTCAAATATTTTTCAAGGTGTGTCGCTATTTTGTCATGCGTTCCAATGTGTGCCGTTGGCAATAAAAGGTTGAGAACCATTGGTCATTTTACCGAGGACACATAACATATCTCTGTAACAAAAGGTCCCAGATTGCTGAAAATGAACAGTTTTCAAATCCTCTCTAACCTATCCCTGGTTTGTCAGCATTAACTAAGCATTGTTGTGTACATGTATAATATATTGTCCTGTCATATTTTCATTTTTCATCATAGCTTGATAATGACTAGAGAAGCCTAGTCGAAACCACTCGGCAAACCTCAACAGATTCCAGTACCCTACATCTAATCTCGGCTGTATGAAAAAGTCCGCCATTAGAACTACTTTCAAGTTCCCGGATTACAATGGCGTTGTCCATGACGACCAATGACGTCATTGATGACGACGTATTTGAAGAATGTTTTATCTTATAAAATTTTCAAAGTTTGAAGCTGTTTTTCTTTCAAGTTTATCCGATTTTCTTTAGACAAGGACAAATTTGCACTGAAAATTCTACACACTCTTCGAACGACGCAATTTTGAGAACTTCTTTTTAAACGCGGGCAAGTTTCCCCTTATAAGTAAACCGGTGCCGCATCGCAAATGTATAGGCGTAGGTACATATCACTTACTGTCATACAGCCGAGGCTAGATGTAGGGTACCGGAATCTGCCGAGGTTTGCCGAGTGATTCGAAACGTCGCTCAGTAAAAAGCAGTAATTGTATTCCATAGAATTGTGACCTTAATAACCTCTATCGCGTTGAATATATATATATGTGCAAACTATGTGTGGGCATATAAAAATGTGGAGCTAATCCGGGTATCATTAACACTTGTGTATTTAGCACTAATTTCTTTCACATTCGTTCAATATCAATTCCTAGTTTAAAAATTCGTGAAAATCATTTAAAATTACCAGAATTCATGTAATTTGTACTTGCGACTAGTTTAAAGCTGACCATTCAATTTTGATAATGAGTGTCTAAATTACAAGCGTTTAATTCCTGGCCAATCAGCACTGTAACCCCGGGTATCATTTAATCTCGTGTATCTAGCACTAATTTCTTTCACATTCGTTCAATATCAAATCCTTGTTTAAAAATTCGTAAAAATCATTTAAAATCACCAAAATTCATCTAATTTGTACTTGCGTCCAGTTTAAAGCTAGCCATTCAATTTTGATAATGAGCGTCCAAGTTACAGGCGTTTAATTTCTGGCCAATCAGGTGATCGGTCGACGTTTATGTATTTTACAATATAAGTCTTATAGTCGCGTTTTCTAATTGTGTATTTGTATTCCCCACGTGCCCTGTTCTGGCCAATCATTTTAATTTTGTATTTATCGCCGTATTTCTATAAATAAAAAAAAGGCCTCACAAGTAACAAGTTCTCTTATCTGTACTGAAATATCGCCATTGTATTGTAAAAGTGTGTATTGACAGCGATACCCCAAAAATAAATCATGAAAAGCTGCTGTTTTTGGTTAAGAAACAGAGCGTGACCCGAAAATAGAAAACATTCATTGAACAAATTAAACACATATTGCATGGCATATGAGTCCATTCATTTGCTTACATTGCTTACCATATTAATATTTATAAAGCTTTATAAAATTCATTATATGTGTCGCCTAATAATTTTAAGTTCTCACTGTTGTTCGATGCGTTACAATAGGATTGTCCCAATTGAGTCCACTATCTGGTAGGTACAGATACGTTTTAATAGGATCAATACGGTTGCTACGACTGACCTCAATATATGATAAGACCTGATGGGGTCACCACGATTACTTCACGATTAAAATCAAGATTTGAATCGTAGCGCGAATCGTGATAGTAGGAACAGGGATCAACCATAGGTGTTTTAATAAAAATAATAACGGACATGGTTGCAGCTACAACTGGTAAGTAAATTAAACAATTATATACGCATAAACTCTAAATGTACATTAAACAGGTCCATCGGAACCGAGGGAGAGGGAGAGGGAGGGGTGGGGTGGGGTTTGGGGTAGGAGGGCAGCACTGCAAACAGTGGCGGACTGGCCAGGTTGTCAGCTTGCCCAATTGCAAGTGGGCCCCTGAGGAAGTGGACCCCCTTAGACATTAGACAATATATTTAAATTATAAATGATCAAATAATATCAATAATGGCGTGGTTTCGATTCACCGGTTGTACGTGACAAGGAGCAGGGTCGCCTTCCAACCACGTGGGTTTTCTCCCGGTCCTTCAGTTTCCTCCCACTGCTAAAGACCCCTACGCTCAAGCGGATTATTGAAATAAAATTAAGCCATATGTTAGTCCCGAAATGACCTAGATTGTGTCAAATTAACATTACACCCCATTTATAATTTGTTTTATTATTTGTATTTGGTATTATGAATAAGTAATACCGCCATGTTAGGTACACAAGAGACGGTTTGTTACGTGTTTAATTGTATTATTTTTTTTTTTTCATTTTTTTTTCAGGATGATGAATTCGCCCAAAGACTTTGAAGAAGATTTTTTATCCTGTTTAATATGCTTCGAGAAATTTAACCAACCAAAATCTCTGCCATGTCTTCACACGTTTTGTCTTGATTGCTTAAGATCATACATCAAATCGACAACGCTTTTTAAAAATGGGACGTCATTCAAGTGTCCCACGTGTAGAGATTTGGCGACGGTGCCTCTTCCTAGAAGTCCAGATTGGGCAACTCAATTTAAAACCAATTTTTACGTTAACAATTTAATGGAAGCAGCTGCGGCGACTAATGCAACTCCACAAAAGACGTTGGTCAGTTCTGGAGACTCCAAATCTCTATCCAATAAGATAGTTCCAATTATGAAAACCGAACTTGCAGCACATAAATCGCAATTAGATCCTTTCCTGTTGCGGTTGGAACTGTTGAACATAGAAATCGAAAAGGAACAGACGACCGTGGCAAGTGAAAAAGAAAGAATCAAGAATTTGATAATGGCACACTCTGAACAACTTCAGCGAATGGTACAACACGAAACGAGCAGGTGTTTGGGGCGACTAGATTCGATATCTTTAGAAATTGATGGAGTTTTTCAAAGTAAAATGGAATCCAACCAAAGACTGCGTTCGTCTGTAGAAAGTACGTGTAGTGACATGGACACTATTATTAACGGGTCAGACGCGAATATATTTGAAGGCGTAGAACGAATTTTGGGTGAAAAACAGAGACTGATGAATATATTGTCCACGTCATTTGAGATTCCAGTATTTAAAATCAACTATGCTCCTGCTGACATTAAGATGTGTGATATACTTGGAACTACTGGTTTTGGAAGAGAGAAGCGGATACTGATGTTTGCTGAGGCCAAAACCCCGAAGTACACACAGAGCATTAATAGTTCTGTCGATTCGACTCCACGTTTAAATCCTGAAGAAATTTCAAACAGCTCGCCCTATTTCAATCATAAAAGCACGTTGACATTTTTGTCTAAATTGGAAACAAAAATAAAAGGCGACAAATCCAACCCATGCCTCCGAGATATTGCCCTGATACAAAGCGGAATAATGGTGGTTACCGATTCGGGGAATAACTGCATTAAATCATTTTATAATATCGAAGGAACAAAATGGGCCAATAGCCGAATATCCACTGATCGTCCTCCACACGCAGTCACAGTAATGAACAGTCAAAACAAGGTTGCTGTCACTTTACCAAAAGCTAAGCAAATCATTGTTTTAAATGTAACTCCGAATCTCGCTCTAGAAAAACAGATAACGACAGCCAAGAAATATTGGGGTATAACCAGTATCGGTGGAGGCATGTTTGCCGTTAGTACCTGTCCCGGTACAGAATTTGGTGTGATTGATATCGTTAACCTGCATGGTGACCTCCTGCAAAAAATACATTCAGGTGGCCTGTTTCCTAATCCTCTTTATCTGACATCATTATCAACTGGGGTCATCATCGTGTCAGACTGCACAGTTCAAAAAGTTGCTGGACTGCGTCAAAATGGCGATGTTTTGTTTGGAAAAGATAAGCGCAATGATATTTTCACCCGACCCATGGGAGTAAAGTGCGACTCTTTTGATGGAATTTTGATCGTTGATGCAAATCAAAACGTATTTGCTATGAACGGACGGGGTGTTGTTAAAAACAAGTTTTCTCTCCATTGTAAAGACATCAAAAAGGAAGTCATTCGTAGCTTGGCCGTGCATAAAAATATGTTATATGTCGCTTCAGAAGAGTCTCGCATATTTGCCTTCCAGCTACAGTAACTGCTCAAAGCCTGGAGGAGTTGTTTCGTTTTTAGTACAGGGGCGGATCCAGGATTTTCAGAAGGGGGGGGGGCGTGCTGACGGGCAATCATCCAAGTCACCATCCGACTCGTTTCGGAGTAAATTACGACGGGGATCACTACCATTTTTAAGTTTTTTTTATTCTCCTTTCCCGCGAGAATATATGGGGCAAAATATTATTCGCCACCGCACAAAAAATAGGGTGGTGGGGGCGTGCGCAGGTCTATCTTTAGGCCTGAAATGTTATATAAACTATTAATTAGACATTTATTAACATGAAAAGACCATAATTAACTCTTGATGCCATCTTAAAATCCAGGTCCTGCGGTCCCCCCCCCCCCACTGTTAATTATTGAAATAAAATTGAACCATTTGTTAGTCCTGAAATGACATAGTTTATGTCGAATGGACGTTAAACCCAATTTCCTTTTTTTTTCTGTATATAATTAAATTAATAGTAAAAAATTATGATAATATTATTGTTGTATATTTGTTGTATATATATGTTTGGATTTTTCGTTATTTTTGGGGGCTCTTTTTTTACTGTTAGTCCTTCACTTGCTGCCCTAAGCTCGTGCTTATTTTGCTTATTGATAAACAAGTTAATAAGAGTTAACCTAAAGTCCCTTAGCAAAAAGATTACACTTCCGAAAATATATAAAATTTTAAAATTGAAACTCATGGTCATTTTTAAAAATTAGTTTGTTTTATCTACCTTTAGGTACATTATAAGTAAATAATTAAAACTTCATTTTTTTACTTAAACATACATTATGCAAGAGGTAATTCTGCCTATTGCAGGTCTTTTTTTAGAGCCAGAAATGTTTTTCTAAATTATTAATTAGACATTCTCTCGATGGCATCGGATGTCTCCGATATTAAATAGATTAGAACAGTACAGCCATATTTTGATTTAAGCTAAAATGGAATGGAGGAGCGAGACTTCGAACAACCAGTACGGTGGTTGAAATTATTGCACACGTCTTGTCAAAACTTCAAAGGCTAAGATCTTCGCTCGCAATAGAGTAATTTGAATGAAATTTTCAAATTATTCATTTTACATTATCTATTTTCGAACTATTATAGCAAGAATGGCTAGCTCTTTATCAAAATCTTACATAATGTATCTTTAATTATTTACTGTTTTGACCTCAACCAAATTTGTAACATTTTCTTAGCTGAGATCTTCAGAAATATGTCACGAAATTAGCGAAGTAGGATAAGCGGAAGCCATGTTTGAATTTGTTTCGGGTTACACTAATATTGGGAGGGGGGGGGAGTGGCCGAATGGTTAGCACGCGCGCGCTGTATCATACGGTCTGCCATTGAGTCAACTGGCGAGGTTTCGATTCCCCGGTTGTACGTGACAAGGATTAGGGTCGCCTGTCCAACCTCGTGGGTTTTCTCCGGGTACTCCGTGCAAGCGAATTATTGAAATAAAAAAAAAATTAAAACCAAATGTTAGTCCCGAAATGACCTAGTTTGTGTCGAGTGGACGTTAAACCCCATTTCTCTCTCTACCATACTCTACCATAGTCTACCATACTCTGCAAACTCTACCATAGAATTGTACCCACAGTTGAATGAAATTATCTTCCATTTTGCCTTAACACTTTATTTGACGTCAAACATTAGATTATACCTTTTACGCAGCGGTAGGATTTATCCTGAAATAAAAAAAAAAATAGTCTATAAAAATTAAAACAGACATCTTTATTCAAATCTATGTCTGTAGTAATCGCTCCAGTTAATCTTATTCTTAAATTTCAATAGCAATGGATATGTGCACAAGTGAATATCGTATTTCACCGTCATTCATAAAACCCGAATAATTGCGTCGCAGTAAACACCTCCACGTTTTCATTGTTATATGCATAACTGTATCACAATGGGAACCGCGGTGGCTCAGTGAGTAAGGTGCTGGCTCGCTATCCGGGAGGTCCCAGTTTAGATCCCGCTGTAGACCGCGAAGGTTCCCTGGGATTTTCCCGCATAGTTTGCTTTTGTCAGTGTACACCTTAGTGTACCCCTGACTTTCGCCCTGGCACGATTTCCCGCCATAGCACACTGTATAATAACAATAATTAAACATATTAATAATAAATAACAATAGAATGTTATGGCAGCCATCTTGCAGATATGCTGAATATGTGAACGTGTGAAAATTTTACACAGTTGTAAAGGGCAGAAATGGAATCTACACCCCGGAAACATATATATTGACGCCAAACGTGACTACTTGATCAAAATCAGCACATCGCCCCATTTTCCCGCCAAAAATGACGCCATCTTTGAAATATCTGCAGGACGTGAAGGAAAACATCTGAAATAAAGTCATGACCCCTGAATATATTAGGTGGTACGGATTTCAGTTAATCTAGCCTAGTTCGAGGCGTGGTATTTTGGGCATGTCTGTCAGGGGTGACCCACCACACAAACTGTCTGGCAGTGGCCAATCTTGATGTCTTTGGTGGTGCTGAACAACTTCCAAGCAGTTTTAGGTGGTACAGATTATAGCTAATCTAGCTTAGCTGTGGCCGGGGAATTATGTCAGGGGTACCCCACGACTAAAAATGTCTGTCGGAGTGTTTTTGTAATACTTGAAGACATAGGGTACACTGCTGTACCATTTTCATGTGGTACACCTCAAGGAATCATGTCCAGAATCTCAGCCCTCCCAGCCACATCCACCACCAGATACCCGGCAGACTTACATTATGATGATACCAGATATGCATGCAATAATACCATATAGGTGAAAATTGGTACACATTTTAGCTAGGCTGACCCCCTGGGCTCCTGCTCTAGTACCTGTCCAATTTGATTTATCAAGAATATCAGAATCTCTTCTGCGTCCTAGACTAGTTCCTTGCACGTTGAGGAGGTATGTCAATTCTAACTTATAGGCCCATTGTTAATCGTCTGGTTATAGCGCGTGGTAGAAGGCCTTAACAATGACCAGACACATTCAGCGTATTTAATTGAAGACGATTTGTTAATGAGGTAAAACTCTTAACAGGTAACACTAACAGGTACAGAACGTTAGTAATGTAATGCGTTTTTAAACATACATTATGCAAGAGCTCAATCTGTCTATTGCAGGTCTTTCTTTAGGCCGGAGGGGCTGACAAGGACAGCTGTCTAGTCGTTCGGATGGGACGAAAAACCGAGGTCCCGTGTACACATTGGCGTGCACGTAAAAGATCCCTTGACAGTTGGAATTCGATATAAGAGTAGGCCGTAGTGCCGCTGTAAGGGCAAAATTTCCCTCATAGCACACTTTATGGGGTATGCCCGTCTTCATTAGCCCAGTTCAGAGCAAAGCAGTAGGACGTTGAACCCCATTTCATTTCATTTCATTTCATTTCTTTCTTTAGGCCTGAAATGGTATCTAAATTATTAATTAGACCTTAATTAACCTATCCAGACCATAATCAACTCTAGATGGCATTGCTAGCCTACGATCTTTAGTGGATTGTGAGCCGATTTACCGCATAACTTTCCTTCACGATTTAACGATTAAATGAATAATCGAGACTATGCTGTTTATCGTACAGACTTAGTAATGATGATCAAGGCTAGGCGGAAATTCAATCGCTCTCGGTTCATAGTGGATCAATTTGAATGAAGTTTTCAGCAAATTGCTTTTACATTATCTAGTTTTTAACTATTATAGTGAGAACTGCCAACTCGTTATCAAATTTTCCCATTATGTATCTTTAAGTTATTAATGACTCTAGGTGAAAAGTAATGATTAAACATTATGCAAAAGCTAAATCTGCCTATTACAAATCTTTCTTTACCGTTAGTCACTGGCGTCAATACCGGAAACTGGTGATGAAAGGCCTACCAAGCGAGGGTACCATAGCTATTGAGAATGTTACTGGATAATCGAGAATATGTGGGTGGGGTTATCGTCTGTCAATCAAACGATCGGCAATTCACGTAGACGGTGCGGACACAGTTGATGCCTATTTCTAGTCCAAACTTCCAACAGTGACAACTCCGTTCAGAATAAAGTAATTTGACTGAAATTTTCAATATTTATCAACTATTTTTGAATTATTATAGCAAGAATGACCAACTCCTTATTAAACTCTTAACTAATTATCTTTTATGTTGCTAATTTATATTAAAGGGGCAGGTTAAGTTTGGGGATCATGTGGCTAAGTAGGTAAGACGCTGACTCGCTAGCCTGGGGGTCGGGTGTTCGATCCCTGCATTTGCCGAGAAAGTTCATCCAGATTTTCCGGCGTGGTTCCCCCTTGTCAGTGATGCAGGACGGAGGGCCTGACAAGGACAGCTGTCTAGTCCTTCGGATGAGACGAAAAACCGAGGTGACGTGTATACATTGGAATGCACGTAAAAGATCCTTTGACAGTTGGAATTCGATGTAAGAGTAGGCGATAGTGCCGCTGCCCGGGCAAAATTTCCCTCATAGCACACTGTATGGCGTATGCCCGTCTTCATTAGCCCAGTATAGGAGCAGAACAGTAGGACGTTAAACCCCATTTCATTTCATTTCACAGGTTAAAGATACATTATGTGAGATTTAGATAAAGAACTAGCCATTCCTGCTATAATAGTTCGAAAGAAGATGATGTAAAATGAATAATTTGAAAATTTCATTCAAATTACTCTATTGCAAGGGAAGATATTAGCCTTTGAAGGTTTGACAGACGTGTGCAATAATTTCAACCACCGTACTGGTTGATCGAAGCTAAGTCTTGGTCCTTCATATTTGATTAAATCAAAGTATCGCTGAACCATTCTAATCTATTTAATATCAGAGAAATCTGATGCCATCGAGAGTTGATTAAGGCCTGGAACAGTTAATTAATGTCTAATTAATACTTTAGAAAACATTTCAGGCCTAAAGAAAGACCTGCAATAGGCAGATTTAGCTCTTGCATAATGCATGTTTAAGTTGTGTAGTGTTAATAGTTTATTCAGTTAAAATTAAATAGAATTGAGGATTAATACAGGTGTATTCACAAAGAAGGAAATCAAAGTTTAATTTTAAATAAGCGTAAGGGCACGAATAAGATTAAGATAATGGTATTCAATTAATATTAAAATCAAGGTAATAAATCAAGGGGAATGTAACTGGATTAAACGAGATCTGATTTAGCAAGGTCACTAGTCGGTTATGGTATGTAATGTACTTTATCCTAACGAACAGGGGGGGGGGGGGGGGGGGTGGATCATAAAGTCTGTCATTTAGTCGACTGGCGTGGTTTCGAATCCCCGGTTGTACGTGGCAAGGAGTAGGGTCGCCTGTCCAACTCGTGGGTTTTCTCCGGGTCCTCCGGTTTCCTCCCACTGCTAAAGACCCCTACGCGCAAGCGAATTATGTAAATAAAATTAAACCATATGTTAGTCCCGAAATGACCTAGTTTGTGTCGAGTGGACGTTAAACCCCATTTCTCTCTCTCTCCCTAACGAACAGCAAAGAAGAACCAGTTTGAGGAATTCCGGTATTCAAGTAGATATGGTCCTGGAGGGTAATTTGCAGAAGTTTTAACATAACGGATCCCCAAATTTAAAGTGGAAGAAACAGAACAATTCGGAATAGTACATTAACATTATTTTATGGTACAAAACAACTAAGTTACATTGACAGTGAAGCAGGGTATTTATATTATTGTGGCATGTTGTTACAGTATTGGTTCTTTATGATGACAACACTGGTTTAACTTCATATGATACTTTTATTGTTTTTCAAACATCAAGTACAAAACTTCTTATAGTTAAAGACCCCGTAATTAGCTTGTGTTGAGGGAGCCATGGTCCTCGGGTGCCAATCCCCAACTAACTTACATGACCGCTCTCCGGTCTTAACTAACCTTCTATCACTTCAGATATCTGCTTATAATCCCTTTCTAGACAAAGAATGACCAAAGAGATTAGGCAGCTGGCTATATTGCATCATACCAGATTAATCGTTCAGTATCGATTGCTTTACAAGACAAAGGACATTACATATTTCGGGTCAGCTATAAGTTTATATTATGGTAATGACTAATGAGTGCCATCTGGACAACCATGGGTGTCAATAGCCGACGCAAGGATATTTTAACCAGTTTCGCTTTCATGTGTCAAGATGGCACGATAACGTATCCATAACATCTGCCATTGTTTGACAATGTATATTAGTGTAATGATATTTTAGACGTAGGACTTGAGATATTTAAAGGACACACTAGAGGTTTTTAGCAATTTTGAAATGTCATTCCGAAAGTATTTGTATATTGTATTGTATTTAAATACATACTAGATAATGGCGTTAATTAAGCAGCATTGCTTAAAAGACTCCTATATTTGGAAGTACCACTACGTAGCTATTTGTGGTTTATAACTTATCTGGTAATACGGATAGTTAGACTATAAGACTTCTAAGGGGAGTTCTGTTTTGAAAGGTGACACGTGTGACACTCTCCTGGCCTCTAAGCCGAGGCGGCTAAACATCCCTCAAGGACCACCTATGATGTTTTCTCTTTGTTGTCTGAATGATGTCTCTATCCCGACCTCGAGCCGAGGGACCCTCTAGGAACACGTATGATGTCTCATTCCTACGAACTCTAAACGATGCCTTAATGGTGTCTTAAGGGAAATTTAATAAAATCTCGCTCTTTCTTATATAAAAAGTATAGATACGTCAGCTATTAACTACTACTACCTCAATTCGTTACCTTCCACAAAAGTAATATCGGAGACATGAGCTAGGAGAGCCGAAGCTTCTTCCTGTTTTTGTTTTTGTTTTTGTTTTTTTTTGTAGAATATGATTTTGCAATCTTTCCATTTACGGCTTTAGGCCGAGGAGTGGTTTAATGGTAAGTTCTTGCCTTTATTTAATAAAAAACATAGCGTTTGATAATGGACAATTAGAATCCAATTAACTACGCCGTGACGACTTTTAACACAGGGGCCCTCTACGAGACTTCCCGCCAGCGAAACCAGAGTATTTAGATTCCACGTAGGCCCGATAAGACTACCGCCGCTAGCGATACCAGAGAATTTAGATTCCACGTAGGCCCCATAAGACTACCGCCGTTAGCGATACCAGAGAAGCTAGATTCCACGTAGCATCGGGTTCTGAAATCTGGTTAGATTGACTACAGATTGTGGGAGTCTGGTAATTTTGAGTGGCGGAAACCCCCGCGTGGAACACCGTATGCTAAGTTTATATTTTCCGGTAAGCTGGTACCACTTGAGTAACGTGGCAATATTATTTGAACAATTTCTCACAATTTAGGTAATCCACTTTGATTTTCATTCTTATTATTTATTACGTACTTTGTCTGTACCCATGCGCAATGGGTGATACTGTTCACTGGGTATTGTGGTTTTATATTAAGTATGAGAACATCGCCATGAACCAAGACACGCATCCGGTATTTAATACACAGTCGTAACATTTCAAAATCGTCGCCAGGGTTCCAGCTGGTCACAAGCACAATTATAGCTGCAGTCCACTGTCTCTCTCTGATTTAGCTGGTTGCTTGTTCCTGGTGTTTTGCATACTCCTCGCAGTGTTTCGTTTGATTAGAGCCAATCCCACTACTCACTGCTGTAAAGAAAGCAAATTCTTGTTCTAAATTATGACTGATCAATAGTCCGATTAACAACTAATTTCTAACTGCGTAACAATACCAAACAGAGCTCAAAATTGGACCAAAAATGTTTATATAACGTTACGTCATAACTCACGATTTTATATGCCCAATTAACCTGTGCATAGCAGAATATTGTAGAAAAACTAATTGTGTGACAAACAAGGCTATCAACTGTCAACATGGATATAATGTAAACAATATTGTTTTGAGACGAGCATCACTTTCACCGTTTTTAATACCTTAAATCACTATCCAAAGTTTTAGGGAAGGCCCCTGATTAAAAGAAGGGCTGTCATGTTGCTGTGTTTGGGGATAGATTTGATTGAACGGGAAGAATAGACACACTCCCTCAAAAGCGCAAGTATCAGAAGCTAATCCAGCAATGGTCAGAGAGGGATTTCTCGGGCCATTGATTCAGGAATATGAGTGTTTTGGTGTATTTTAAAGTTTTGTCATTTTCGCGCTGACTGCAGTTCAGCCGCGTGAACGAACAAAAATAGTTACAGTTTCGAATTTTGCTGCGTTGTTTGAAGTTGACAGTATGTCTTACACAAAATGTATCAGTGTCGAAGTGCATCACAATGGATGCATTGTTATTAATATCCCCCGAGCAGAACGAAGTTAAGGGAGGGATATTGAAATGGGGCCCATCAGTCCCGTTTTTTCCCCATAAAATATCTTCGTTTATGATATTTTAAACACAAAATAATCTATTACAGATTTGATGTTTGTGTTTCCATGGAAACAAACTTGACTTTTTGGTGCCCAAGGTCGCTTAGTCTTCTTACTGAGTTACCTGTTTAATTTTTAAAAGTTATTCGCATCACTTTAATGTTTAATTTGTTTTAGATACACCCACAATCCGTCACATGTAAATTAGGGATATCGTATTTTGTTAGAACTCCATGGTTGAGAAGCAGAACGGACTTGTCCGCGAACGCTATGGGAGAGCAACAAGGTTTTAAAATTTTCTTCAGAGTTACATTCACATTCAATTGTGGATTCCAACGATAATTCTGGATCATAATGGTATGGTTGTTATACGGTGTGATCGTCGGGTCTGAAAAAAAGAAGAAAAGTAATAAATGTATACGCATTACATAAAAAAACGAGAAAAAAAAAACGGCTTTTAAAGATACATTATGGAAGATAAGATAAAGAGATGACAGCTCTCACTATACCTAGATGATGTAAATGGATTATGCTGAAAATTTCAAACTGCTTCACTCTTAGCCGAGAAAACCATATTTTAAAATATCTGTAGTCTCGAATGTCACTGTTACCGCTGTCGCGATAATTAACAGAGTCTCGATTATCCACTTTTTGCGTTTAATCATCAACGGACGTCGAATAGCTGATCGGTTTTAAATCCAATGAACATGGCATCGAGATTTAATTATGGTCTTTTTATGTTAATGATTTAATGTCTAATTTGTAGTTTATATAACATTTCAGGCCTAAAGAATGACTTTTAATAAGCAGATTTACCTCTTGCATAATGCATGTTTAAGGGGAGTTATAACGCGCGCGCTTTAGATTATACGGACTGTGAGTGAGTCGAGTGGAGTGGTTTTAATCCTGAAGTTTGTAAGCGACAAGGAGTTGACTCGTAGTAGCTTAGGTTTGACCCCGGAACGGAACCAGGCCTTCCGTTGTTGCCAACATCGGAGTAACACTTTCAAAATGCGTTCCTTCACGTCCCTTGGTGGCACTACAAAGGCGCATGTTAACGTGGAAAATGTCTTTCAAAAATAACTTTAAGCTGTGACTAAGTATATCTAAAGTCTATTACGGTATGTGCGTCAGCGGGATTATCAAATTCAGGGGCAAATAACTCGTTTCAAATGATCTGAGACAAGAATCCGGTTCAAAAATAGTAATCTACGACCGACGGTCCGTAGTAAAGGCGACCTCGACCATGACCTGGGGATCGTGATCGTGCATACTTGCGCAGTAGTCGACAACCCGGGGCCAGACGCAACACGAACTACTGGGTTAAACCGAAGGTGTCACTGTACATTTCGATCTGTGACTCGTACATAATTGAGTCGGCTCACCGGTGCTCCCACTGGATCCAGATCAGGGAGTAGGGGTCTTTAGTGGTGAATCCAGGCGGGATCGACCCCCACCCACCCACCCACTTTTTCCCTAAAAGCAAAATATAAACGTTTTCGACGTAACGTGGGAGGAGGATCCCATCGGGTGAGTGGCGAGACCCTTCCACTACCGGCCCCCCTAACCGAGTGTCCGCCACCGGCCATGCATCTGCTCACCCGCTTTATAATAACAGTCACTTAACAGTAAACATGGACTGTTAAACAAATCACCATATTAATTTCATCAACAATTGTATTTTACATCAGCTGTAAACTTGAATTCTGACAGCCAAGATTATAAGATTTCTGGCAAGTTGTTCAAGGTTATCTCGCTATTAAACTCCCCAAGATGTAAACATTAAAGAGACAGCGGAACTTTGAATATAATCCTTGAATAGCATTTATCAATTAGGCCAAAGCCCAGCTTCTGCATGGGTCAAATGGGCACAGATCCAAGGCCCAAGACCCCATGGTTCATGGCAAAATGATAAAAAAAAAATCTATTAAATTCCAGAGACAGAAAATATATAATCCTTGAATGGCATTTATCAATAAAGTCAAATTGACCCAGATAAATGGCCCAAGACCCCACGGTTCATGGCAAAAAGAAAAAAAAAACCTATTAAATTCCAGATGAAAGTTCCACCCATCGGTCTAATGTCACGATGGACGGAGACTAGGTGAAACTGCGATCCCTCAACTTTATCTATGTAACAACTCAACAATCGGATGATTTCACTTGTTATTAACAGTTCCGTGCCATTATATCTTATTTCCGCACCCATATGCCATTCGGAACTGAATAGATTTCCTATTAAGATCAGATATTATGTAATTTCTTCTTATATTGCTGGCCATTTAATTGTGTGTTACGCATGCGTGCCATTCGAAAGGATATAAAATAATCTTTTTGTAGCGGTAGGGGTACCGCGATTTTAGTCTGGCCCAGCGTTCCGCTCCGTTTTATAAGCTGGGCTTTGAATTGAGCAGAGTAAAAGACCACTGTCATTGGTTTTTAAGGGTTCTCTTATCGTTATCAACCGATTCCCCGGTTGTACGTGGCAAGGAGTAGGGTCGCCTGTCCAACCTCGTGGGTTTTCTCCGGGTCTCCCGGTTACCTCCAACTGCTAAAGACACTTTACGCACAAGAGAATTATTGAAATAAAATTGAACCATAATGTTAGTCCCGAAGTGACCTAGTTTGTGTCGAGTGGACGTTACCCGCCCCCTCCCCTCTCCTATTAGAGCAATTGATGTATTCCATGGGAGTCGAAATGAATCTCAGAGATGACAAGTACCATCTCCCCAAAAAATGGGGGCTTCGAATGCCGAAGGAAATCTTCATGATTTTTAAATCCCCTTTCCAACTTACAGAATCGGATTAATCTTGTATTTAATTAAAAATAAACGAAATTTTGTTTACGGTACCGTACGTTTATTTTTCATGGTTTATTATCAATGGAAAAGAAACGCCACAGGCTTGGCAAAATTCTCCTTCACGTGACCAAAGTGACGACATTAAGGCGTGTTAATCGTAAAATGATGTTTTAGGTAGACCTACATGCATGTCCCTTTAATGTCACCTAGCTAAAGGAATATGATACATTTGACTTGACGTCTCAAGTCAGGTTGACACAATAACAAAGTATGTTGACAGACTGGTCTATAGTATATAGAAATATCATCCATTCAACCACAATCACAAAAACCAAATCTCAACCGAGCAACTAAAACGGCATTAAACACCCTTAAAAAAGACAAAAAACATAATAATTAAGAAAAGCGACAAAGGCTCGTGTTGTGTCATAATGAATCGCGCAGACTATATCTCAGAGGCAGAAAAACAATTAAGTAATCCTATACATTACACTAAATTAGACCAACCCATCTTTAAGGACACCGCAACTTTAATAAACAACATCTTATATGAATTGCAGGATAAGGAATACATAACAGCAAAACAATATGATTATCTATCTGCTAAATCTGACTGCCGACAAAGACATCTCTATACACTACCAAAAATACATAAAAATCCAGAAACAGAATGGTTTATACCTAATAAAATACCCAAGGGACGCCCAATAATATCAGACTGTGGCAGCGAATCATACAACGTATCACAATATATAGACCATTTCTTATTACCCCTAGCATGCCAACACCCATCCTACCTTAAAGACACTAAAGATTTCATTCATAAAATCAAACAGTTAAGAGTCCCCGAACACACCATTTTAATATCCATCGACGTACAAAGCATGTACACGAACATTGATAATAACACAGGTATTGAAGCAGTTAGGAAAGCATTTCTTAGGAACCCGCAAGCATCCAGACCGGACGAAGAAATCCTCAAACTACTCGACATTTGTCTGAGGAGGAATGACTTCGCTTTTAAAGACCAAGTATACCTTCAGTCTTCCGGAACTGCGATGGGAAAACGATTTGCCCCGAGTTATGCAAATCTCTTCATGGCGGAGTGTGAAAGGGAAGTTCTGCCACTCTGTCCATTAAAACCAGATTTCTATGGGCGGTTTTTAGATGACGTTTTCATAGTCTGGACGTACACACTAGACGAATTTTGGACGTTTTTCAACATTCTGAAATCATCATCCATCTGTCAAATTAACCGCAAATGTAAGCCATAACAGCATAGATTTCCTTGATACTACCGTGTTTAAAAGTAGCAGCACAAAAATCACAGACCAATTGGAAACTAAAGTATTTTTCAAAGAAACCGACACACATCAATTATTGTTCAAAAGCTCCTTTCACCCAAAACATACATTCTCTGGCATCATAAAATCTCAGATTCTCCGTTTTCATAGGATATGTACTCAGAAGACCGACTTTGAGTCAGCATGTACATTGGTATTTAGCAAACTAAGGGAAAGGGGATACTCCAAACGCTATCTACGACGTATAAAAAACAACACTCTCGCTGAGCTTGCCGCCAAAGAAACAAATAATATACAATCAGCAGTTAAAACCAAAATTTGTGGCCATCCAAGATGTCAAACATGCAAAATCTTAAACATATCCGACCATTTCCATAACAAAACATCTGGCACAAAATTCCAAATATTAGACCAACTTTCATGCAGTAGTTCAAACATAATTTATCTAATTTCATGCAGAAAATGTGACAAACCTGTCTCAATTCATTTCAACCAACCGAATCATGACATTTCTGATCTCATTGTCACGCCAATAGAAAAGACCAAGAGCGACTTTGAAACTTCAGAAGAAATTAAAACGTTTAGGCTAACTAGAGAAAAATTCTGGATTGACAAATTGAAAACAACAGCCCCCCCTAGGTTTGAATATTCATACGGCTAGCGCAATAGCTCCTTTTGTAGTTCCATTTAGCGCAACAGCAGCAAGTGCATCCAAAATCATCAGAAAACACTATACTGATCTCCAAGAAAATCACCCGAAAATATTCACACAGAAACTTATAATTGCATATTCTAAAAATAAAAATCTGAACGACATCCTAGTGCACAGTAAATTAGATTAAATAAGACCAGTCTCCACCCTGACCCAAAACAAACTATATATCAAATCCTATCCCTAACCGTTAGTAAATAAAATCAATTAGATATAAGAATCCCTAGCCCTAACCCGGTGATGTGGAACAAACTCGATTTTTTAGAAAATCCAATCCGTAGTAAGAAACACACTAATGTGGCTCTCTCCCGAGAGCCTCAAATTTATTTTCTTTTTTCTTCAGAAACAATAAAACCAGAATACTAGAAGCACCACCCAAGGAAGACCATCAGCGCCACCAACACCAATAAATAGTGAAATCGCCTTTGTATATAAATCTAATGTATTGTATGTATTTTTAATAAAACTAGGAAATATCACGAACTAATTTTTCATCATCCTAGGTCAGTGCTTATGTGGAGACTTAACCTCTCCCCCAAATTCTTAAACCAAACCTACAATCTCGCTAACTATCACGTGCCCTAACCTTATTTACATCTCAGCGACCTTGACGAAAATTGAGCTGGCCTTAACAAATAGATCTAGCAGCTCACAGCCCGTCGTAAACCCGTGCGAGAGACCTACGCGTCACTTGCGTGTGTTCGACACCGTAGAAGATCGCAGACTAGCCATAGAAACTTTTGGTAGTGCACATAATTTTTTTTTACCCGATTTCTTGCGGCTGGTCGGCGAGCTATACCAAACTCTACGATTTTCCGGCGTGGTTTCCCCTCGTCAGTTGTGCAGAACGGAGGGCCTGACAAGAACTGCTGCCTAGTTGTTCGGATGGGACGAAAAATTGAGGTCCCGTGTACACATTGGCGTGGACGTAAAATATCCCTTGACAGTTGGAATTCGATATAAGAGTAGGCCGTAGTGCCGCAGTCCAGGCAAATTTTCTCTCACAGCACATTGTATGGCGTATTCCCGTCTTCATTCGCCCAGTTTTGAGCAGAACAGTAGGACGTTAAACCTCATTTCATTTCATTTCATTTCATTAGAACGGTTGGGACAGATAATAGTAAGTATAGGGGTGCTTGGGTCTTTAGGGGGTTGGATGGCCGAATAGTTAGCACGTGCGTGCTGCGCTGTATCGTACGGTCTGTCATTGAGTCAACTGGCGGGGTTTCGATTCCCCGGTTGTACGTGACAAGGAGTAGGGTCGCCTGTCCAACCTCGTGGGTTTCTCCGGGTCCTCCGGTTTCCTCCCACCGCTAAAGATCCCTACGCGCAGGCGAATTATTGAAATAAAATTGAACCATGTGTTAGTCCCGAAATGACCTAGTTTGTGTCGAGTGGACGTTAAACCCTTGTGTCTTTACGTGGTAAAGGTTATGAATTAAGACTACAGCACATGAAAATAGTTGATTACAGATATGAACATGATCGGTAAGTGGACATACATTTTCTTATGTTCATACCAGTATGTGCAGGAGGACCACACCAAACACAAACAGTTACACATGACAAACCCACGGACAGGACACAATATATAGACACCACAAACAACAAACGCACATATCAGATTAAATGAGTGGATTTCATTTCAGGTGTTAAATGGACAGCAACTTACCATTACACGATCCAGTACAGTACGTCATGAGAAAACTTCTAGGCATAACAATATTTTCAAAAAATTCTCTTGATTCGGCGTGAAAAGATTTTTTGCAACATGTCACTTGTCCGACACGACAATCCGTATCTCTCGTGTTCGAAGGAGATAATTTAGAATCCATATTTATCACTAAGTTCGGTTTGTGGTCCGTTTGGAATCCCAAAACATCATTGTAAGGACCCCTGCATTGTTTACACGTACGTCTGTTGGCACTGCTACAAGTCTTGCAGTTTATTCCAAACGCCCGAAGTGCACCCGGCTTCCCCTGTAACGTGGTAATTGTCTTCCTCACATCGAACACAACCCACCGAGAAGTGTTGTCTTTAATGTCTTTTTTCATAAGATAATTGGCGTCCTTGAAAGTTCCTCTCTGGTTTAAAAGATAAAGAATAAGTGTTTGGTTTGTGGTGTTCACGTTAAGATAAATGGCCAACTCTGCCGACAAGATCCGATTACTCTGAATTTGTTTCACGTCGTCAAATCTCATACACCCATATATAAATTTATTGTCACAATCATCCGACACTGAAAGAAAAAAATAAATGTATATAATTTATCCAGGGCATTTTTGAAGGAATGAGAAGCCCTGGGGTGAGGAGGACGTGGGGGGGGGGGGGGGTTGGGGGGTTGGGTGGTGGTTGGGGGCTACCTCCAAGAACAATGTAGAGTTTCGGAAAAACTTAAAGGATGTAAACGGTCACGTGCTTTGTCCTCATTAAAGGGACATTAGATAAAGAGATTCGATAAAGAGTTGACAGCTCTCGCTATAATAGTTAAAAATCGATAACGTAAATAGTACATGCTGACAATTTCAGTCAAATTGCTCCAGTCTGAATCGAGATATTAGCGTTTGAATTTTAGGCTAGCCTCGATCATCATTGATAAAGTAGGTACGATAAAAAAAAAAGCAGTGTTGATTATCCACTTTTACGTTTAATTATTTTTCAAAAAATGTATTCCAATCCGCTAAATATCGACGGCTAACGATGGTATCGAGAGTTGATTATGGTCAGGATAAGTCAATTAATGTTTAGTTACTAATTTATATAACATTTCAGGCCTAAAGAATGACCTGTAATAGGCAGATTTAGCTCTTGCATAATGTAGGCCCATGTTTAACTCAGTAGGTGCAGACAAGTGGAAGGTTAAACCCCGTTTCATTTCATTTGTCCCCCACCCAACACCCTCCACCGCGTCCCATCCATAGATAATTACAACCGGATAGCGACGCTACTTTCGATTTCCAATCATTATCAGGCGTGCTTGGTTTATTCGTACAATCGAAACGATTAGTCGCCCTTACAAACCGAGCGGGGGGAAACTCGGTTGGATAACCCCGAAGAACAATTTCGACCGCCACCAGGATCTAACCAGCAGGATCACCTGTTGATAAATCCAGCGTACTACCCACCGAGTCGCCGTGGATAAACTTTACCGAGGAGTTGGAAAATGATGGGCTAATACACGAAGTTGACTTTCGTTTCAGGGAATCATATGTCCTGCTGTAACAAATTTACTGAAACTAAATCTGCTTATTGCAAGTTTTTATTTTGGCTTGAAATGTTATATAAATTATTATCTAGACATTTATTCACATGACCAGTCTATAATCAACTCTCTTGAACATTGGACGGCGGAGATTTAACCGGGTTGAAATGTGATCGCCATTTAATGGAGAGCTGAGTCATGCTCAACTAGTAAAGTTGCTACAATAATGAACAATCTATGACACATCTAGTCAAAACTTAGGAGGGGGGGGGGGGTGGATGGCCGAATGGTTAGCACATGGTCTTTCATTGAGTCAATTGGCGTGGTTTCGAATTCCCGGTTGTACGTGACAAGGAGTAGGATTGCCTGTCCAACCTCGTGGGTTTTCTCCGGTTCCTCCGGTTTCCTCCCACTGCTAAAGACCCCTACGCGCAAGCGAATTATTGAAAATAAAATTAAACCTTATGTTAGTCCCGAAATGACCTAGTCTGTGTCGAGTGGACGTTAAACCCCATTTCTCTCCCCCCTCTCTCTAGTCAAAACTTCAATTTCAAACAGCGATAACTTCGCTCAGAATACAGTAATTTGAATGACAAGAACGATCAAGTGTTTGTCTAAATCTTACGTAATACATCTAAAAATAGAACGGACTCAATTCAATCTACTTACGGTCCGGGGAGCCACGGTGAACAAGACGCCGACTCGCTAACCAGGGGGTCACGGGGTCGTTCCCGGCGTTGGCCGAGAAAGTTCCAAAGTTCCTCGGGATTTCCAGGCATGTTTCCCCCTGGTCAGTGGTACAGGACGGGAGGGCCTGGCAAGGACAGTGTCTAGTCGTTCAGATGGGACGAAATTCGAGGTGCGTGTACACATTTAAGGGCACTTAACAGAACTCTTCATCAGTCCAGTCCGTGCACAAAAGTAGGACGTTAAACCCTATTTCATTTTAATTCACTTACTGTCCGTTGCATATGTAATATATCTACTATCGACAGCATTAAAACTGTTTCTTTTGTTCACCGCTGGTTCATCTTTCAACATTTCTCTCCAGTCGTGTATAGGGGGTAATATTGGAAAGGGTTCGACCTCGTTAGAAAGATCTTCTTCGGCAATACCAATTTTCATCAATACGTGCCGTTTGAATGTCTGTAAGAACATTTCTCTGTCTCGAGCTTCAATATCACACACAGTCGTATTCAATTCTGTATCACCCGTAGAATTGACATTCGTAACATCTGTCAAGTTTGTTTCTACAACACTCTCAACTCCTGAGATCACTTCGACCGACTCGTGATCGGGTTCGGTGTTTTTGAGAACCTGCTCAAAAACCTGCTCCAGAAGAGAACCACTTAAAATGTTTCCATCACTTTCATCAGTACGGGGCGTGGTTATTGTCGATGGTGTAGATATTCGCGGCACTTTTGTTACGTTTTCAATATTCGAGTTCTTCTTGCAATGTTTTTTACAATCCTTGTACTTCATCTTGCAGTGATGTTGACAACGGATACGTTTTCCAGCAACGCCTTCATTTAGCGAGCAGACGACAAACAATATAAATACTAGGAATCTAAGGTAATGCATCGTCCTGAAATCCGCTTCAGTGCGCCAGCACACATCTCGCGAAAATATGTCTGAGAATTTGTGTGATATATTTCACTGAAACTCATCCTTTATATATAATATATTTTTTTTTTATCAAGTTTGTAAACATCACAGACCCGTCGACCTCATTAAACGGTGGACGTTGATCTGTTCGAAAGGCATACTTGCAATAATAGCACGTGATATTATCGGGGGCGGATCCAGGAATCTTTGCAGGAGGGGGTTTGTCAGGCTCCTGTTAAGGAAATTTGACAGTTGACAAGGGCATGATGCCATCATCGTCCCCAAATTACGAAGGCATACATACACATTGAGCTTTTTAAAGAGAGAAATCCAACATCCTGTTTGATGTCAATTTTTATAATGAATGGGGTCACGACCGGTATGCTTTGTTCATAAAGTGTTGTTTTACAATGCTTTTATGTAGCTGAGCAGGGTGGGGTCCACCCTCTTTTGGGTCCGCCCCTGGTGTGATATACATGTATTGTATTGTATATAGGCATTTGCATATTCAGTTGAGGTACCGTCTCACCAGTCACGTGAATGTCTTAAATACAAGAGAGGGGGGGTTAACGCCCACTCGACTCAAACTAGGCCATTTCGGCACTAACATATGGTGTGAGAGAGAGAGAGAGAGGGGTGGGGGGTTAACGTCCACTCGACACAAATTAGATCATTTCGGGACTAACATCTACCATATGGTTTAATTTTATTTTAATAATTCACTTGCGCGTAGGGGTCTTTAGCAGTGGCAGGAAACCGGAGAAAACCTACGAGGTTGTATAGGCGACCCTACTGCTTGTCACGCCGCTTAACTCAATGACAGACTTTATGATGCAACGCGCACACGTTAACCATTCGGCCACCCAAACCCCTCAAATGCACGATAAACATTGGTAGAGAGAGAGAGAAATGGGGTTTAACGTCAACTCGACACAAACTAGGTCATTTCGGGACTAACACACAGTTCATTTTTTTTTTCAATAATTCGCTTGCGCGTAGGGGTCTTTAGCAGTGGGAGGAAACGGAGAAACCTCAGGAGGTTGGACAGGCGTCCAATACTCCTTGTCACGTACAACCGGGGAATCGAAACCCTGCCAGTTGACCAATGACAGACCGTATGATCCCCCCCCCCCCAAGAGAGTTTAGTCAGTTTACCCAACACTTATAGGTGGCATTAGAAATGCCGAAATGAAATGGGGTTTAGTGTCCTACTGTTCTGCTCCGACTGGGCTAATGAAGACGCGCATACGCCATGGCTAAATCTATTTGTTAAGGCCAGCTCAATTTTCGTCAAGGTCACTGAGATGTAAATAAGGTTAGGACACGTGATTGTTGGCGAGATTGTGTTGGGGTTTGAGAAAGCATTAGGGCTAGGTCCAGGGTACAGATTGACAGTGTGCTATGAGGAAAATTTTGCCCGACTTACTCTTATATCGAATTCCAACTGACAAGGGAGGGGTCTTTACGTACACGCCAATGTGTACAAGGGACCTCGGTTTTTCGTTCCATCCGAGCATGGAGTCAAGTGGCATGGTCTCGATCCCAAATCTGTGTGTGGTCGCCTGGCCAACCTCAAGGGTTTTCGTCGGGTTACTAAAAAGACCCGCGCACACAAACAAATTGTTGAAATAAAATTGTACCTATGTTAATCCCGAAATGAGCAGTTTGTATCGAGTGGACTTGAACGTCTCTGCCACCCCGTACCCTCCCCCCCCCCCCCTCTCTTTAAAATTCCCCAATATGACGATCATTGGCTTGAAAATTTTGAGCCAGATATATTGTAAAGTGTTTCAGGAGAAGAATCCGGGTGAGGAATATCATACAGTAGCGGATTATCAGTGAGGCTGATGAGGCTGCAGCCTCAGGCCCAAAGATTTTGTAAAAAAAAATTTTTTTAGACTTGTCTGATACGATTAAAAACGCATAGACAATGAATGTTAGGGGGGTGGGGTTTAGGCCCAACGGGAATCAACATAGGCCCTGACCCGAAATTAATTAGGCCCACACCATTTTAAATAGGCCCTATTGTTTGGAGATCTGATCTTATTTTTTAAACGTAGGCCTACAATGTACGTTAAATCCTTGTAAGTTTTCGGTTATGTCTTACTTAATATATTGTATCCACGTGACGTCATTTATGGGCATATAAAGTTGCATTACGTTTTTAATGTTAGCAACTACCTTGGCTCTAACTTTAAAAACTAAATAGGCCCTCCAGCAACTGCCGCCTCGGGCCTTGTTGGAGCTTAATCCGCCACTGATCGCATAAATCTCCGAATGCTGACACAAATTGGATCGGAGCAAAACTGTCCGACAAAATGGCACTCCCTGTACGAAAGTAATGTAAAAGTATGCAATACCTAGGTTGTGGATCCTCTAGAGGTCGGAATTTTAATGAAACCTAAAATATATGTTTATATCCCAAAAAGAGTACTGTTGTTAAAGGATATATTTCCGGTTAGTCCTATTTAAAGGTGCATTAGGTAACATTAGATAAAAAGCTGACAGTTCGCTCTATAAAATGGTTAAAAATAGATAATGAAAAAGGAATATTGAGAGAGAGAGAGAGAGAGATGGGGTTTAACGTCCACTCGACACAAACTAGGTCATTTCGGGACTAACATATGGTTTTAATTTTATTTACATTTTTCGCTTGCGCATAGGGGTCTTTAGCAGTGGGAGGAAACCGGAGGACCCGGAGAAAACCCACGAGGTTGGACAGGCGACCCTACTCCTTGTCACGTACAACCGGGGATTCGAAACCACGCCAGTCGACTCAATGACAGACTTTATGATACAGCGCGCGCACGCTAACCATTCAGCCATCCAACCCCCCAGGAATATTGAAAATTTCAGTCAAATTACTTCATTCTGAGGTATGGCCGATTGAAGAATGGTGCAGTCTCGATTCTTCAAACGGCCATACCTCAGAATGAAGTAATTTGACTGTTACGATAATAAACAAAGTCTCGGTTATCCATTTTTTAATTAAATCCGTTGAAGATCACACCCATCCGATGGGATAATAGACTTGACATGTGAATAAATGTCTATTTAATGATTTGTAACATTTGTGGCCAAAGAAAAGATCGGCAGACGGATTTAAAGTAGCTAAGTCCTTAACTCATTATCATCCAAAGTCTGTGTGTGTGTGGAAGCAGGCCATCTCTCAATGTTTAGACAGACAAATTCTGATGGAATTTTTATTACAATATATACTGTTATTTTGTATAGTATTTTTTGTACGCAAGTCACTTGCGTAAATTTGTCATGGCAAACTAGGCGGGTTGGATGGCAGAATGGTTAGCGCATGGGCGTTGTATCATAGGGTCTGTCATTGAGTCAACTGCTTAAGAGCCCTATGCACAAGCGAATTATTCAAATAAAATTGAACCATGTTAGTCCTGAAATAACCTGGTTTGTGTTGAGTGGACCTTAAAGTAGCTAAGTCTCTAACTCAAAATCACCCAAAGTCTTCGACATTAAAAACACAAATTATTTGTCAATTTAAATCAACACTGATGTTGTGATCTTACCGGGAAAATGTGGGCTTCTGATATCCACTATTTAAGACAAAATGAACATTTTACCATTGGTACACGAACCGTGTACCATAATGCGTTTCAGCGCCATTTGTAACAGGGACTCGAAGAACGAGGCTAGACATTTTCCACAAGTCATGTCAAACGGTGACGCCATATTCTTATCTTGAGAGCACGCGCAATAGATACTATCGATGTAGACTGAAATAACCAGATGCTAGAGATTGCCATTCGATTGAGACTTCTGGCGTATTTCGCCGAACATAACTGATTTGAAATTAGAGTAAAAACGGAAATGTTTGAATGTAAATCAGTTTAAATACATTCATATTACATTATTATATACGTTGCGACCCATTTGTGTCAATTTCTAGGTGCCACATATTAGCGATTTAGCTCCTTTAACTCTTACGTAATGCATCTTTAAGAAAGGAATGGCTCATCTTGAATGGTTTAGTTTATTTTCAGGTTGGTTGGAGAGGTCATTTCAATAAAAAAAAACATCCATATAGGCATTCTGTCTCGGCAGTCTGAAAATAGACTCACCTGTTCTGCAGTTTCGGAGCAATGCCCTCATTAAAGGTACAGAAGTGTTTGGTTTTAGGTCGGGTTGCCGTACCTTTACATACCAGGCGTCAATTTGTTTACGCGCGAATTCAGATGCGCCATATACATCTTGCACTTCCGTCTACTTTCTGTAAACATATCTTTATAATAGACATAATTAACATTTTTACCGGGACGATTCCTGAACAAAAAACCGCCAATCCTGTATATTTTATATTTAGCTGCAACAGATTATAATGTGAGAGAATTCGCTTAAAAAATAATGAGTAAGCCTAGGGTTACTGACTTACTTCATTATTATCGCAGGGATGCACATACTAAACTTAGGTTGTCTATCTATCTACAGTTGCTCCGCTTGACAATTGACACTAAGCTAGTTGACCGACATGTTAAAAGTCCTAAATCGACGATTTTAGTCGAAAACACTAAGAATATATCGAGAATTTTAGTTATTCTGTTTCCAATTAATAAAATTGAAAAAGTTTATTTTGTCTTTGTGTCTGTGAAACGGGGTAGAACCGCATTACAAAACAGTTTACTAATTATTGGATATGGCGGCCATTTAGGGCAGAGATCTATTCTCGAAGTATGACACTCTTTAGTCGGGGCAGCTAACCAACCATTATTTGATATACTTTTTTTCTCAGTGGATTATTGTTGAATAGGGTCCCCCCAATTTTTTTTAGGTTGGGTGTGTTCATGTCACTCTTGGGGAAACTCGGAAATCCAAGATGGCGGCCAGAAATGGCGAGAAAAATATAAAAATTCGATTTTTTTCATCCTGACATTTTTGCCCAGTGTTTGTCCCATAGGTGTTTTTCTGGGAATCCTGTATTTTTCTAGTAAGATTGGGCGTCTATACAGTAGCGGATTATCAGTGAGGCTGATGAGGCTGCAGCCTCAGGCCCAAAGATTTTTTTAGACTTGTCTGATACGATTAAAAACACATAGACAATGAATGTTAGGGGGGTGGGGTTTAGGCCCAATGGGAATCAACATAGGC